GCAGATCACTTGAGGCTTGTCAGAAGTTCCAGACAAGCCTGGCTAACATGGCAAAATCCCATATCTATTAAAAACACAAAAATTGGCTGGGCGCAGTGGCTCACGCCTGTAATCCCAGCACTTTGGGAGGCCAAGGTAGGTGGATCACTTGAGGCCAGGAGTTCGAGACTAGCCTGGCCAACATGGTGAAACCCTGTATCTAAAAAATTAAAAAATAATAATAAAAAACACACAAAAATTAGCTGGGCCTGGTGACAGGCACCAGCAGGCTGAAGCCTGAGAATTGCTGGAACCCAGGAGGCGGAGATCCCACCACTGCAGTCCAGCCTGGGTGACAGAGTGAGACTCTGTCTCAAAAAAAAAAAAAAAAAAAGAAAAGAAAAGAAACCCCATCTCTACTAAAAACATATAAATTGGCCACGTGTGGTGGCAGGTACCTGTAATCCCAGCTACTCAAGAGGCTGAAGCAAGAGAATTGCTTGAACCTGGGAAGCAGAGGTTGCAGTGAGCCAAGATTGTATCATTGCACTCCAGCCTGGGCAACAAGAGCAAAATTCTGTCTCAGGAAAAAAAAAATGCTATTTATATTAGCATATAATGGACTTAACTATTTCTTAAATGAATTAATAAGTATTTTAAGTGTTTCTCAGTTTTAATGTGAGCAAATATTGATAGGTATAACCTACATAAGCAAAAGCTCTTTGGATTCCTCAACAAGATTGAAGTGTAGCCGGGCGCAGTGGCTCGTGCCTATAATCCCAGGACTATTGAGCCTCTGCACTTGGCCTTTGGGAGGCCAAGGCCAGTAGATCACCTGAGGTCAGGAGTTCAAGATCAGCCTGACCAACTTGGAGAAACCCTGTCTCTCCTAAAAATACAAAAATTAGCCAGGCATGGTGGTGCATGCCTGTAATTCCAGCTACTCAGCAGGCTGAGGCAGGAGAATCACTTGAACCCAGGAGGCCGAGGTTGAGGTGAGTCGAGATCGTGCCATTGCACTACAGCCTGGGCAAAAAGAGCGAAACTCCATCTCAAAATAAATAAATAAATAAATAGGGCTGGGCGCGGTGGCTCACACCTGCAATCCCAGCACTTTGGGAGACTGAAGCAGGCAGATCATAAGGTCAGGAGTTCAAGACCAGTCTGGCCAATATAGTGAACCCCCATCTCTACTGAAAATACAGAAAATTAGCTGGGTGTGGTGGCACGTGCCTGTAATCCCAGCTACTCAGGAGGCTGAAGCAGGAGAATTGCATGAACCCAGGAGGCAGAGGTTGCAGTGAGCCAAGATCGCGCCATTGCACTCCAGCCTGGGCAACAGTGTGAGACACCATATCAAAAATAAATAAATAAATAAATAAAATTGAAGTGTAAGGGGATCCTGAAGCCAAAATGTTTGTTTATTGATGTATTTATTTGAGACAGGGTGTTGCTCTGTCACCCAGGCTGGAGTGCAGTAATGCAATCAATCATAGCTCACTCTAACCAAATTCCTGGGCTCAAGCAATCCTTGGACCTCAGCCTCCTGGGCAGCTGGGACTACAGGTACACACCACCACACACAGGATCTCGCTCTGCTGCCCAGGTTGGTCTTGAACTCCTGGCCTCCAGCAATCCTCCCATGTTGGTCACCCAAAGTGCTGGTACACACTTGAGCCACTGCACCTGGTCCCAAAATGTTTATTAAGCACTGAACTCGAGGCAGCACTCTATCAGTGAGGGTCTTCAGGGCATTCGTGTTTGGCATTCGTGACACCCACACTCTTCTTTCCTACCTTTGCCCATTACTTTATTTTTCTGCGTCTTTGTTAAGTGATTGGTTCCTTATCCTTTGAGGGGCAAATAGCTACCCAAGCGGCAAGTTAAACAAATGGCTGAGAAGATTCTGTTTATTTATATTTTTATTATGTTTATATTTACATTTTTTGAGATGGAGTTTTGCTCCCCAGGCTGGAGTGCAATGGCACAATCTCGGCTCACAGCAACCTCCTCCTCCTGGGTTCAAGTGATTCTCCTGCCTCAGCCACCCGAGTAGCTGGGACTACAGGCGTAAGCCACCACACCAGGCTAATTTTGTATTTTTAGTAGAGACGGGGTTTCTCCATGTTGGTCAGGCTGGTCTCTAACTCCCGACCTCAGGTGATCCATGCCCCCCGTCGGCCTCCTAAAGTGCTAGGATTACAGATGTGAGTCACCATGCCTGGCAAGAGACTCTGACTGTTAACAAGCCTGAAATTGATACTCAGTTTACCTCCATCGTTTCCTGTGGACAAACTAAGGCAAGCAGGATTATCAGTTGAGTCCAGTCCATTGTTGGGTGGCTGGATTTGCATTTTCCCTCTTCCTGCTCACTTCTCATTTTCCCTCACTCTTGCCACCCTGGAATTGCACCTCCCAATTAAGCACAAACATGCAGGCTTTGCCTAGGCCTGTTTTCTACGGCAACTAGACTCATAGATCAATATTATTATTAGCTGATATTATTGGTAAGAAGATAGATATGTGTGTGTGAATATTCTTGGTTGACCCTGCATTTCTGCTTTCCACCCTGATTTCTTCCCCAAGAATGACCTTTATGGGGCATATAATGGGCTCCCTTGCACTCAGGCCTCTGGGAGATTTCAGACAATGAGAGGAGCTGGCGAGTGATCAGAGGACGGGAGGATCCCAGGACTTTTGGAAGGCTGAAGCAGCAAGATAGCTTGAGACGGGAGTTTGAGACCAGCCTGGGCAGCATAGCAAGACCCCATCTCTGTAAAAATAAAAAACTTAAGCCCAGGAATTCGAGGTTACAGTAAGCTATAATTACACCACTGCACTCCAGTCTAAAGTGACAGAGAACATGTCTCTAGGCCGGGCATGGTGGCTCATGCCTGTAATCCAAGCACTTTGGAGGCCAAGGTGGGCGGATCACCTGAGGTTGGGAGTTCAAGACCAACCTGACCAACATGGTGAAACCCCATCTTAAAAAAAAAAAAGAGAACATGTCTCTAAAAATTTTTTTTTTTTTTTTTTTTTGAGACGGAGTTTCGCTCTTGTTACCCAGGCTGGAGTGCAATGGCCCGATCTCGGCTCACCGCAACCTCCGCCTCCTGGGTTCAGGCAATTCTCCTGCCTCAGCCTCCTGAGTAGCTGGGATTACAGGCACGCGCCACCATGCCCAGCTAATTTTTTGTATTTTTAGTAGAGACGGGGTTTCACCATGTTGACGAGGATGGTCTCGATCTCCTGACCTTGTGATCCACCCGCCTCGGCCTCCCAAAGTGCTGGGATTACAGGCTTGAGCCACCGCGCCCGGCCCTCTAAAAATTTTTAATTGGTTTAATTAAAAATAAAATAGGATGAGAGGAGAGTGAGATGGGGATTTTTCATTCGCAGCTCCCTCTCTGCTGTTAAAGGCTGCATTTCTCTATTGAAGGCCACGGCTCCTAACAGCTTGCTCTCCCACAGCTGCAGCTCTTGCCGGTTTCCAGTAACCACTCTCTCTCTGCCTCTTCAGGCCAGCAGGTAGCAAGGGCTCTCCATTATTGCTGGCCCCGGGGTGTGTTATCATCCCTCTTTGGTTTCCTTTTTTTGTTGTTGAGATGGAGTTTTGCTCTTGTCACCCAGGCTGGAGTGCAAGGGCACAATCTTGGCTTGCTGCAACCTCCACCTCCTGGGTTCAAGCAATTCTCCTGCCTCAGCCTCCCGACTAGCTGGGATTACAGGTGTGTGCCACCACACCCATCTAATTTTTGTATTTTTGGTAGAGACCGGGTTTTGCCATGTTAGCCAGGCTGGTCTTGAACTCCTGACCTCAGGTGATCTGCCCACCTCAGCCTCCCAAAGTCCTGGGAGGACCCGTGCCTGGACTCTTGGGTTTCCCTTGACCCTGCCTACACCTCTATAGTTTCTTCCTTAAACTGTCCTCAATTCCTCTTTGAAGAGCCATATGTTTCTTTCTTTTCTTTTCTTTCTTTTTCTTTTTTTTTTTTTTTTTGTTGTTGTTGTTGTTGAGACAGGGTCTTGCTTTGTCACGCAGGCTGGAGTGCAGTGGCACAATCATAGCTCACTACAACCTCAACCTCCTGGGCTCAAGCAACCCTCCCACATCATCTCCCAAGTAGCTGGGACAGGACTACAGGCAGGCACCACCATGCCCTGCGATGAATAATTTTTGTATTTTTGTATTTTTTGTAGAGATGGGGTCTTGCTGGTCTTGAACTCTGGTCTTGAACCCAAGCTGGTCTTGAACTCTTAGCCTCAAGTAATCCTTCAGCCTCAGTCTCCCAGAATGTTAGAATCACAGGAGTGAGCCACCATGCTGGGCCAGGTCGTATGTCTGTTAAATGGGCTCTTACTGATACACATCCAGAGGTTGGGTAACTTTCCCAAAGTCACACAGAGTAAGTGACAGGGTAGCTGAGAGCATTGTCACTGGAACACAGAACAGGGTGGAGGCTTTTTCAGCCTCGCCAGCCTGCCCAGCCTCCTCCCAGGTCCCTATGGCCTGCCCAACCTGTCGGAATCTGTGATCCTTTTGTTGGGATGGGATTGAATTCCCTAGGGCTCCTGCCCTGGACCTGGCCAACGGCTCCAGTAACCAGAGCTGTGTGAGAAGAAAAGGCCAAGCCCCTGGGGCAGCCGCACCCCAAACAGAGGTGAGGTCTCCGGTGAGTCATGCCCGTGAGGGGTCACTTCCCTGTCCTATGGGCCACTGCTCACCATGGACCCACCCAGCCCCTGGCGGTCCTCCTCTTTTGGCCTTTGCCTACAGTGTTCTTCATCCCTCCCTTTCCCACCCAACAGGTGCCCTGGAGCTAGGACATCTGTCCCCCACCCCCACCTGGGCTTCCAGAGACGTGAGATGTGCGCAGGGCTCTGGGTGGGGCCTTCAGGCTCCCCAACTTCCCCCTTCCAGCCCCAGATCCTCTCAGATTCCCAGAGATGGGCTCCAGCCAGGGAGGGTGGGGCTGCCCTTGGGACCATTGGGAGTCACGGGCTGCCTGGGCAGGGACAGAGCCCTGCAGGAATCAGATCTTCACTCGGCTGTGCTTCCACTGACTCTAGCCCCATGGCCCGGCACCTGCTCCTCCCTCTTGTGATGCTTGGTAACCTCAGGGGACAGGGGCGACTGCATAGGGCCTGGGTCCTAGCATCTGGGGGGCTGCAGAGCAGTATTCCTGGGCTCTGTGTGGGGAGCAGGGTGTCAGAGGGAAGAAAGTGAGGCAGAAAAAGAGGAGGGTGTATCAGAGGAGGGAGAGGGAGTCCTGGGTACCCTAGGGAGATGAGGCTGGGAGGAGGGAGTCAGGAAGGCACATGCAGAGTACGGGGTCCCAGCCTCTTCCTGCCTGCCTCTGTCTTCCCAGGCATCAGTCCCATCCCAGGAGCCTTCCAGGACTCAGGTAAGGCAGCTGGACTGGGGGAAGTCACATGCAGAGACAGAAAAGACACGAGGACTGGCACGAATGATGGCAGGGGGTGCTAAATGGACAGGGAATTGGGAAGATGGGGTCGGACTTGGAGAGCAGGAAGTGGGGCTGGGCAGTGCAGGCCTGGAAGTCACAAGTGTCCTCCTCTCTTTACTCTCTGGCTCCAGAGCTCAGTCCGACCCAGGAAGAACCTGAAGATCTGGGTAAGAAAGAGGCCTTGGCACTCTCAGACCTTAAAGGAGGCTAAGGCCGGTCAGGGCATGAGAGGGAGGTGGAAAAGACCAGAAACCTAGAAGAGCCTGGGTCCTCGGTGTTCTTTGTTCAGAGCGGCAAACGATAGCGGGTGGAGGACGGGGCTTTGTCCTGAGTTACGTGGGCTTCTGAAGTGGGGAACCCGAGGCAGGCTTTGGCTTCCACGGCTCCCCATTGCAGACTGCGGGCGCCCTGAGCCCTCGGCCCGCATCGTGGGGGGCTCAGACGCGCAGCCGGGCACCTGGCCTTGGCAGGTGAGCCTGCACCATGGGGGTGGCCACATCTGCGGGGGCTCCCTCATCGCCCCCTCCTGGGTCCTCTCCGCTGCTCACTGCTTCATAACGTGAGTATTCGCCCCGGCCCCGGCCCCTCTCCGCCAAAGGCCAGCCCCGCCCCCGCAGCTGATCCCCTCCTGCCGCCCCACTTCCGCCCTCGTGGATAATTGGAAGTCGAGCTGTCCCCAAGGCGAGGTGCTCTTCAAGGCATCATGGTTCCGAGTGCGGCGAGGACGCCGGACTGGTCCCACCATCCCACTGAATATCCCGGTCTGAATCCCATCTTTCCAATGCTCTCCCCCGTCCCCCGTCCCCCCCCGGCTCCGCCACCACCTCCAGATCGGATTTGCCCTTCCCCTTTGAGGAGTATCAGCCCCAAATCTGGATCGGACCCCACCTGCCCTCCTGGCTCTGAGCCCCGGGCCCCCAACGAGGGTCTGCCACCTCTACACGGTCGACCTAACCTTCTCCCGCCCCGTCCGGGCGCAGGAACGGGACGCTGGAGCCGGCGGCCGAGTGGTCGGTACTGCTGGGCGTGCACTCCCAGGACGGGCCCCTGGACGGCGCGCACGCCCGAGCAGTGGCAGCCATCGTGGTGCCAGCCAACTACAGCCAAGTGGAGCTGGGCGCCGACCTGGCCCTGCTGCGCCTGGCCTCACCCGCCAGGCTGGGCCCCGCCGTGCGGCCCGTCTGCCTGCCCCGCGCCTCACACCGCTTCGCGCACGGCACCGCCTGCTGGGCCACAGGCTGGGGAGACGTTCAGGAGGCAGGTGAGTGGGACGGGACAGGAAAGGGGCTTCGGGCAGGTGGGGTCCCTAGGGCGGGGCCTCGGGAGGTGGGGTTGCTAGGGCGGGACCTCGGGAGGTGAGGTTCCCATAGAGGGGGGTCCTCGGGAGGTGGGACCCTGGAGTGCAGCCCCGTGGGGAGCCTCGGAAGGTAGGTTTCTGCGGGTCGGTAGGTGACTCCCACCGATCGTCATGTAGCCTCCTCCCCTCAAGGATTCTCAAACTAAGACCACGCAATCACCCACACGCACCCCATTCCCTCAGCTTTCCTTCCAGTTTTTTCTTTCCTGGATTTAGGATCCGACTAGGGTTCCCATCCCAGCTCTGCCATGTCAGACAAAGCACTTCGCCCAGTATATTTCCTCCTCTGTAACACGAGGAAAATAGCCGTGACCTCAAGGGGTGGTTGGGTGGATTAAATGAGAAAATCCATGTAGAGTCCACGTACAGTGCCTGGCATAGCAGTAACCAACGCACTTGAGACATTTCACCTCAGGTAATCTATGGTAAAGCACTAAAGCCCAGCGCTGGGCTATAATAGATGTTCGGCAAATGCCAGTCTGTGCCTCCCTCCCTCTGCCTTCCTCCCATCCCATCCTCCGCCCCACTCATCTCTCTACTCCCCACCTCCTCTCTTCTCCCTACCCACCCTCATTCATTCGGCCATTCTTTCACACAAGATATCCCTTGAGCACCTTCTACATGCCAGGCACTGTGTTAGGCATTAGAGAGACACCAGTGAACATAAAAAGCCAAAATCCGGGCTTTTCAGAGTTTACGTCCTAGCAGACAGACAAGCCACAAATTCAATAAATAAGCACACATTATGTTAGAAGGTGGGGGGAACAGGCCACTTCTCCACCCCCATCATCCCCATCGCCGGAGCTTTCCATGCTCCCAGGACCCCCAACAAATATTCCAAACCGGTGCTGGTCAGACTTGTGCCCATGCTGAAGGCACAAGGTGCTGCATGGGGAGATGCCACAACCTCTGCTTGTGGAGGTCCCATCAGGGCAGGAGGTGACGAGGAAGCATCACTATGAGCCCTGGGAAGTCTGTGTGAAGGGACTAGGCCATCTTGACAATGGGCACCCAGAGAGGGTGCATTGCAGGAAGACGGGAGGAGATGAAAGCCAATCTGGGCACCCAGGCGAGGCCTATTATATGAAGAAGGGCCAGGAGGCCAGGCTGGAGTGAGGGAGGGTCAGGCACCTGGGCTGCAAAGGCTGCTGAGGCCCGACTATGAAGGTCTTAGGGTCAGACCGAGAGCCAGAGCACCCTACCAGCTCCAGGGACACCCGGGACAATCCCCAACTTCCCCGGTGAGCCCCAAATACAGCTTCAGCTGTCACGTGGCCTCAGATTCTAAGGAAGCTGGGGAAGGAGTTCTGTCTGTACTTCCCCCACCTCCTGCTTCTTTCTGGATCCTGAAGCTGTTTCCATGAAACGCAGGATGGGGTTGTGGCACCAGGTTTAGACAGTGGGATCTATTTATTTTTCTTGATGAGATCAGAGCTGACCTTGAATGTTACTCAGCAATGAACAACATTCAGGGGAACAGGCTGGCCAGAAGGCTGGGTCAGTTATCCAGACCCACAGCTATGCAGCCTCAACTAAAGTAGTTGGTGAGAATGCCAGGAAGTCACAGATGAGAGGTTTTCATGAATTGGGAACTGACTGGGGGAGAGGAGTTGAGAGAGGAAGCAGGGATGATACCGGGATTCCATACTTAGCAACTCAGGACAGGCCCACATAGAGTCCATATGGCATCTTTGTGAAAAGGGTAACCTCTCTAGACCAACACAACGCCACGTGTGGGCTCAGAACTTAATGATTTTAGTGCCTACATTTCATCCATTGTTGCAGTGCACAACCTGTACAACCATGCATAGTAGCTCGCCCTAAGAGTTTCACGGAACCATTCCTGAGCTGAAGAAGTAGAAAGAGGCCGGGTATGGTGGCTCATGCCTGTAATCCCAGCACTTTGGGAGGCCAAGGCAGGCACATCACCTGAGGTCAGGAGATGGAGATCATCCTGGCTAACATGGTGAAACCTCGTCTCTACTAAAAATACAAAAAATTAGCTGGACATGGTGGCACATGCCTGTAGTCCCAGCTACTCGGGAGGGTGATGAAGGGGAATCACTTGAACCCAGGAGGCGGAGGTTGCAGTGAGCCGACATCACACCACTGCATTCCAGTCTGGGCAACAGAACGAGACTCTACCTCAAAAAAAAAAAAAAAAAAAAAAAGTAGAAAGAACAAATAGGAGCAGGAGGAGACGTGGTGAATGTGGTAGGCTGAGGGGCTATGCAGCATCTAGCTGATGACCAAGAAGCAGCTGGAGGGGGCAAACCTGAGTCCTGGGAGCTGGGGACTCCATACCTGCCTCACAGCACCTGCTCTCTGGTTCTGCCCCAGATCCTCTGCCTCTCCCCTGGGTGCTACAGGAAGTGGAGCTAAGGCTGCTGGGCGAGGCTGCCTGTCAGTGTCTCTACAGCCGGCCCGGTCCCTTCAACCTCACTCTCCAGCTTTTGCCAGGGATGCTGTGTGCTGGTTACCCGGAGGGCCGCAGGGACACTTGCCAGGTGAGGGGAGACCCCTGCACCTGCCTGGCTGGGCCAGAGTCCTAGCCAGTGAGAAATAGATAAATGCCATCTCTCCAAACCTTATGTGCAAAAGGAGGGCAAGATTGCTAATGGATGGGGTTGATGTCAAGTCATTTGTTTGTTTAGAGACAGAGCCTCGCTTTGTCGCCCAGGCTGGACTGCAGTGGCATAATCTCAGCTCACTGCAACCTCCACGTCCCGAGCTCAAGTGACTCTTGTGCTTCAGCCTCCCGAGTAGCTGAGATTACAGGCATTCGCCACCACAGCCAGCTAATTTTGTATGCAGTTATGCCCAGCCAAGTGAATTGATTGATTGAGATGGAGTTTTGCTCTTGTCACCCAGGCTGGATTGCAATGGCACGATCTCAGCTCACTGCAACCTCCACCTCCTGAATTCAAGCGATTCTCCTACCTCAGCCTCCTAAGAAGCTGGGATTACAGGTGTGAGCCACCGTGTCTGGCCAAGCCTGAATGAATTTTGAAACCAAAGGCAGCATAGCCAGGAGCAGTAGCTCATGCTTCTAATCCCAGCTAATCAGAAAATTGAGGCTGGAGAATCACTTCAACCCGGGAGTCTGAGACCAGCCTGAGCAACAGAAAGATACCTCGTCTCAAAGAAAGAGAAAAAGAAAAGAAGAAGCTCAGTGCAGTGGCTCACACCTGTAATCCTAGCACTTTGGGAGGCTGAGGCAGGCGGATTACTTGAGGTTGGGAGTTTGAGACTAGCCTGGACAATATGGTGAAAACCCTCTCCACTAAAAATAGAAAAATGGCCGGGCGTAGTGGCTCATGCCTGTAATCCAAGCACTTTGGAGGCCAAGGCGGGTGGATCATCTGAGGTCGGGAGTTCAAGACCAGCCTGACCAACATGGTGAAACCCCGTCTTTAAAAAAAAAAAAAAAAAGCCGGGCGCGGTGGCTCAAGCCTGTAATCCTAGCACTTTGGGAGGCCGAGGCGGGTGGATCACGAGGTCGAGAGATCGAGACCATTCTGGTCAACATGGTGAAACCCCGTCTCTACTAAAGATACAAAAAAATTAGCTGGGCATGGTGGCACGTGCCTGTAATCCCAGCTACTCAGGAGGCTGAGGCAGGAGAATTGCTTGAACCCAGGAGGCGGAGGTTGCGGTGAGCCGAGATCGCGCCATTGCACTCCAGCCTGGGTAACAAGAGCAAAACTCCGTCTCAAAAAAAAAAAAAAAAAAAAAAAAAAAGAACAAAAAATTAGCTGGCTGTGGTGGTGCACACCTGTAGTCCCAGGTACTCAGGAGGCTGAGGCAGGAGAATCACTTGAACCCAGGAGGCAGAGGTTGCAGTGAGCCGAGATTGTGCCACTGCATTCCAGCCTGGGCAACAGAGCAAGACTTTGTCTCAAAAAAGAAAAGAAAAACAGAAAAAAGAAGGGAAGGAAAGAAGAAAGGAAGGGAGGAACGGAAATTATTTGAACTAGACACTGGACAAGAATCACTTGGCTCTGATGATGCCTGCAGGGTTCTCTTGCATGGCCTTGAATGGACTTGCCTGGTGCTCTTGGCTCTGGCTGCCACCGGCCTTCTGCTTACAGGGCTTGCTTCTGTTTATAGAGCCCCAGGGAATGCAGAGGACTAGGCCCAGCCAAGGAGGGTTTCTAGGAGAAGGGAGAAAGTGGCTGTATGTTGGGGCCAAAGGAGGTGCAGGACCTTCTTGAGGAGGCCAGAATAAAAGGGTAGGTCCCTGGGCTGACCCCCTGACATGCAGTCATCTGTCACTAGGGTGACTCTGGGGGGCCCCTGGTCTGTGAGGAAGGCGGCCGCTGGTTCCAGGCAGGAATCACCAGCTTTGGCTTCGGCTGCGGACGGAGAAACCGCCCTGGAGTTTTCACTGCCGTGGCTTCCTATGAGGCATGGATACGGGAACAGGTTATGGGTTCAGAGCCTGGACCTGCCTTTCCCATCCAGTCCCAGAAGCCCCAGTCAGATCCCCAGGAGCTCAGGGAGAACTGCACCATTGCCCTGCCTGGTGAGTGGGCGACACCCCTGGATATGAGCGGGATACAGGAGATTTGAGTTGGGATGGAGGCTGCTGGGAGTGATGGGGTGCAGGACGCCCCCTGACCCAGGCCTCTCACCCCTCAGAGTGTGGGAAGGCCCCACGGCCAGGGGCCTGGCCCTGGGAGGCCCGGGTGATGGTGCCAGGATCCAGACCCTGCTATGGAGCGCTGGTGTCTGAAAGTTGGGTCTTGGCACCTGCCAGCTGCTTTCTGGAGTGAGTGAGAATCCACGTTTCAGGCCAATCCTTGCTCCTCCCCACAACAGCCTGAGACCGACACCATCTACATGGCCCCAGCCCCTCCCCTGAGGGGCATCGGGAGTGCGGGGTCCCATTCGGAGGTGTAGGATCCAGCACAAAAAGAGAGGTCCTGGACTGGCAGGGGTGGGTAGAGGCGTGGTAGAAGTCTGATCCCGGAGGCAGGGGTGTAAGTAAGCCGTTGAAATGGGGGTGGGGTCGGAATCCCACCAGGGATGCAGGATCCTCTCCTGGAGAGTCTAAGCCAGAGGTGCGAGGTTTTCAACCACGTGTGCGGGATTCGGCCCACGTCCCTCACCCCCCATCCTGCAGCCGAAGCAGCTCGGACGGCCCGCCCCGCGACCTCGACACCTGGCGAGTGCTGCTGCCCTCGGGCCCGCGCGCAGAGCGGGTGGCGCGCCTGGTGCCCCACGAGAACGCCACGTGGGACGACGCCTCCGACCTGGCGCTGCTGCAGCTGGGCGCGCCCGTGAACCTGAGCGTGGCCCCGCGGCCCGTGTGCCTACCCCACCCGGAACACTACTTCCTGCCCGGGAGCCGCTGCCGCCTGGCCCGCTGGGGCCGCGGGGGTGAGTTGGGGTCCGGCGCTGGGCAGAACGGCGCCTGGCGGGGCAGGGGCCATCTGGGCCGCAGCACGGGCTCCCTGCCTTTTCCCTCCCAGAACCCGCGCCTGGGCCAGGCGCGCTGCTGGAAGCGGAGTTGTTGGGCGGGTGGTGGTGCCACTGCCTGTACGGCCGCCAGGGGGCGGCAGTGCCGCTGCCGGGAGACCCGCCGCACGCCTTATGCCCCGCCTACCGGGAGGAGGAGGAAGCGGGCCGCTGCTGGGTAAGCGGCGGGGACAGCGCCTAGGCTGGTCTGAGAGTGCTCTAGGGAGAGGGCGGGGCCTGCGGAAGGCGGGTCCGAGTGGGCTCCAGGGAGGGGCGGGGCCTGCGGAACCAGGATTGGGGCGGAGCCGGAGCGGAGGCGGGGCCAGATGGGCTGGGGGCAGGGCCTGGCCCTAGAGAACTTGTGGGAGGGATTGAGGCGGGCTCTGAGGCGGGGATTGCTGTGGTTTCTAACCCTAGATATAAGGAGAAAGCTGAATTCTTACACAAATTAGTATTTGGAGTCTGATTTGGAGAAGGCAGAACTTGATATTTCCGCAAACGGAAAAATCTGGGTTCCTGGAAAGCCCCAGGAGCGCTGATGTTCTCTGCGCACGCGCAGAGGCAAGTAACACACGCACTTTGTTGCAGAATGACTCGTGTTGGAGCCTTTTGTGCCAGGAGGAGGGGACCTGGTTTCTGGCTGGAATCAGAGACTTCCCCAGTGGCTGCCTACGTCCCCGAGCCTTCTTCCCTCTGCAGACTCATGGCCCATGGATCAGCCATGTGACTCGGGGAGCCTACCTGGAGGACCAGCTAGCCTGGGATTGGGGCCCTGATGGGGAAGAGACTGAGACACAGACTTGTCCCCCTCACACAGAGTATGGTGGTGAGCAGGACACCTTTGGGGCCTAGGGACCCCTGGGGGCACATAGGCCCATGGCAGGGGCTCAGGGGTCAGCCACGGGGCCCCAGATGAGGTGGCCATCTCCTCTCCCTAGCCTGTGGCCTGAGGCCGGAGGCTGCTCCAATGGGGTTCCTGTGGCCCTGGCTAGCAGAGGTGCATGTGGCTGGCGATCGAGTCTGCACCGGGATCCTCCTGGCTCCAGGCTGGGTCTTGGTAGCCACTCACTGTGTCCTCAGGTGGGTCTCACTCATTCACTCATCTCCTAGGCTAGAGGCTGGAGGGGAGAATGGGACAAAGCAAAATGACTTGTTTTTGTTGTTTGTTTTTAAAAAAATTAACGATGGGATCTCACTGTGTTGCCCAGGCCGGCCTCAAGCAGTCCTCCTGTCTTGACCAATGTGTTATGATTACAAGCATGAGCTACTGTGCCTGACCCAAAGAACTCTTAAAATAGTGAGATATTCCCCTTTAAGCATCTTACAGTCAGGTGCAGTGGCTCATGCCTATAACCCCAGCACTTTGAGAGGCCGAGGCAGGTGGATCACGAGGTCAGGAGTTCAAGACCAACCTGGCCAACATGGTAAAACCCCATCTCTACTAAAAATACAAAAATTAGTCCGTCATGGTGGCAGGTGCCTGTAATCGGGAGGCTGAGGCAGGAGAATCCCTTGAACCCAGAAGGCAGAGGCTGCAGTGAGCCAAGATTGTGCCACTGCACTCAAGCCTGGGTGACAGAGCCAGACTCCGTCTGGAGTGGGTGGGGAAGGGGAAAGGATCTTACAGCACTGGGAGATGTTTTGACCCAGAAGGAGATCTGGAAGGAGGGGTGATAGAAGTGAGTGGCATGACCCCAGAGAGTCATCCTTCCCTTGGGCTGGGAAGGACTTTGTCAGCAATAGGAGGAGCAGAAGGTGACATTGGGCCTTGTTCCAACAGGCCAGGCTCTACAACAGTGCCTTACATTGAAGTGTATCTGGGCCGGGCAGGGGCCAGCCCCCTCCCACAGGGCCACCAGGTATCCCGCTTGGTCATCAGCATCCGGCTGCCCCGGCACCTGGGACTCAGGCCCCCCCTGGCCCTCCTTGAGCTGAGCTCCCGGGTGGAGCCCTCCCCATCAGCCCTGCCCATCTGTCTCCACCCGGCTGGTGTCCCCCCGGGAGCCAGCTGCTGGGTGTTGGGCTGGAAAGACCCCCGGGACCGAGGTGAGTGCCCTGTGTCATGGGAACGAGGAGTGGCTGGAGACCAGAGCGCTGCAACAACTCTGTCTCCTCTCCCCAGTCCCTGTGGCTGCCGCTGTCTCCATCTTGACACCACGAATCTGCCACTGCCTTTATCAGGGCATCCTGCCCCCTGGAACCCTCTGTGTCTTGTATGCAGAGGGACAGGAGGATAGGTGTGAGGTACAGGGGCCTGGGTGTCCTTGGGGAGGCAGGGGAGAAGCAGTGTTGAACTGCTGGACCTGGATTGGAATTCTTTTTTTTTTTTTTCGAGACGGAGTCTCACTCTGTCACCCAGGCTGGAGTGCAGTGGCTTGATCTCGGCTCACTGCAACCATCACCTCCCAGGTTCAAGCTATTCTCTTGCCTCAGCCTCCCTAGTAACTGGGCACGCCTGGTTGATTTTTGTATTTTTGGTAGAGACAGGGTTTCACCATGTTGGCCAGGCTGGTCTCGAACTTCTGACCTCAGGTAATCCGCCCACTTTGGCCTCCCAAAGTGCTGGGATTACGAGCACCAGCGCCTGGCCAGGATTGGAATTCTTGGGTGTTGAGCCTCAAAAGGGACCCTGGCTGGACTCCGGAGAGAAACTAGGGACCCGGATGTCTACGGATGCAGACCAGAGTGCTTCGTGGCCAGACCCTGGGGAAAGGGTCAGGGGACCAAAAGTAAGGACAGCAGACCCATGTGACCTCCCTCCAACTACAGATGAGCTCAGCACCGCCCCTCCTGTGCCAGACGACGGAAGGCTCCTGGGTCCTCGTGGGCGTGGCTGTTCAAGGAAGCCGGGAGCTATTTGCCGCCATTGGCCCTGAAGAGGCCTGGATCTCCCAGACAGTGGGAGAGGCCCACTTCCTGCCCCCCAGTGGCTCCCCATACTGGCCCACTGGAGGCAGCAACCTCTGCCCCCCAGAACTGGCCGGGGCCTCGGGCTCCCCACACGCGATCCACTTCCTGCTGCTGCTGACTCTCCTGATCCAGAGCTGAGGGGCTGGGGTTCCAGTGCCACTTCCCTCTTCTCTGCCCTCTACTTCCCGCCCAGTGGGGCTGGAATGTGGCCCAGCCGGCTGGCACCTCGAGGGCCCCACCCACCTAGATTGCAGCGGCTCTGGCTAATTGGGCCTCAGTGCCCGGGCTATTTTGAGCCCAGGAATCCTTGGGGGTGGTGGGAGGAGCAGACAATAAAGGTGTAAACACAGGCACCTGTGTGGCCTTGTGGCATCGCTGTGGGCAGGCTGGGAGGCTGGGCATCAGAGGCTAAGCGGGAAGCCCAAGTGGGAGGTCCTCTGCCTCCTCCCGCCTCTGAGTCAGGCCTTGGGCTCTCAGGAAATGTATCCTGATAACCTGGCAGCTATTCCTTCATTCCGGCCGCAGGGCGGGGAGGTCGTCGGGTGGCCAGCCAGTTGTGTGTCACCTGCCTAGTGGAGTCAGCACCCTCAGCACCTGCTAGACATCTCGCCCCCAGCTCAGATCTGCTGCCCTTGCTGCCCGCCATAGACACAGCTCGATGTGTGATGCTCCGATGTGTCCCCGGCACACTAAGACCCTTCAAGGGCCTGCCGCTTTTACGTTCTGCCCAGAACTTGGGTCCCTTGTATGTGAATCCCACTCCCTCACCCATCGCTTACCTGCACCTCCCTGCATTCATTCAACCTGTGTTCCCTGCTAGCTGCTAAATTGTGCCACAATTAAGATCTGATATATAAGCCCACAAAGTGCTCCCAATCTAGTGAGGACACATGTGGACACCCCTGGCTGAGGATCGAGAAGAGGTCGTAGAAGTGATGTTTGAGCACAGAAAAAGGACAGGTGTTTTCCAGCCAATGAATCTACAATTAAAAATTAAATCGAAACCTGACAGGGTGTGGTGCCTCACGTCTATAATCCCAGCACTTTGGGAGGCTCAGGTGGGAGGATCACTTGAGGCCAGAAGTTCGAGACCAGCCTGGGCAAAAAAACCAAGATCCCCCATCTCCACTTTTTTTTTTTTTTTTGAGACAGTCTCACTCTGATGCTAAGACTGGAGTGCAGTAGCAAGATCTTGACTCACTGCAACCTCTGCCTCCTGGGTTCAAGCGATCCTCCTGCCTCAGCCTCAAGTAGCTAGGATTGCAGACTCAAGCCACCACGCCCAGCTAATTTTTGTATTTTGTTTATTTATTTTTTTATTTTTATTTTTTGAGATGGAGTTTCCCTCGTTGTCGCCCAGGCTGGAGTGCAGTGGCACGATGTCGGCTTACTGTAACCTCTATCTCCTGGGTTCAAGTGATTCTCCTGTCTCAGACTCCTGAGTAGCTGGGATTACAGGTGCCCACCACCATGCCGGGCTAATTTTTGTATTTTTGTTTTTCCATATTGGCCAGGCTGGTCTTGAACACCTGACCTCAGGTGATCCGTCTGCCTCGGCCTCCCAAAGTACTGGGATTGCAGGCATGAGCCACCACATTTGGCGTATTTATTTATTTGTTTTGAGACAGAATCTCCCTCTGTTGCCCAGGCTGGAGTGTAGTGGCGAAATCTTGGCCTCCCAGTTCAAGTGATTCTCCTGCCTCAGCCTCCTGAGTAGCTGAGATTACAGGTATGTATGCACTGCCATGCCTGGATAATTTTTTAGTAGAGATGGAGTTTTACCACGTTGGCCAGGCTGGTCTCAAACTCCTGACCTTGAGTGACCTTGAATGATCTCCCGCCTTGGCCTCCCAAAGTGCTGGGATTGTAGGTGTGAGCCACCACATCCAGCTCCACAATTTTTTTTTTTCTAATTAGCTAGGCATGGTAGCACACACCTGTAGTCCCAACTACTTAGGAGACTGAGGCAAGAGCAGCACTTGAGCCCAGGGGTTCAAGGTGACAGTGAGCTATGTTTGTACCACTAAACTCCAGCCTGGGCAACAGAGTGAGACCCTGTCTCAAAAAGGGACAGCTGGGCGCGGTGGCTCACACCTGTAATCCCGGCACTTTGGGAGGCCGAGGCAGAAGGATCACAAGGTCAGGAGTTTAAGACCAGCCTGGCCAAGATGGTGAAACCTGTCTCTACTAAAAATACAACAGCTAGCTGGGTGCCTGTAATCCCAGCTACTGGGGAGGCTGAGGCAGAAGAATCACTTGAACCCAGGAGACAGAGGTTACAGTAAGCTGAGATCGTGCCACTGCACTCCAGCCTGGGTGACAGAGTGAGGTTCCGTCTCCAAAAAAAAAAAGGACTAATGGGGTAAGAGTAGGTTTTGGAGTGAAAGCCAGCTGATGAGGATGGTAAAGGGGTCGCCTCTAGGGCTGGGCACAATCCCTGGCTTGAGAAGGAAGAGGACGAAGATAAAAGACCTAGAGAGAAGCTGGAAGTTTTCACTGAGAGGCTGAGAAAAAGGCCAGAGGTTCTTATAAGGCCAGGCTTAGCCTTAGCACCTATATGCCAGCTAGAATAATCCCCAGGATCTTCACAGTGTGTACATCCCCACCTGCTCCCATTCCCAGCCAGTCACCCCATGCCATTCCCACAAACACTACACATACCCCATCCTCTGCCGAAACCCACCTATCAGGCCACGTATCTTGCCCCCTCTTCCCAGCTAAGACCCCTTCCAGTCAGGCCCTTTCCCCTCACCTACCAGAGGAATCATCTGACCTCCAGCCTGGGCCCCAGACAGCTGATCTCTGGAAAGCACGTGGGGACACGAGGCTCTGCTTTTCCTGAAGCTCAGACCCAACAAGTGTTGTTTGGTTTTTGTCTGAGACAGAGTCTTGCTCTGTCACCCAGGCTGAAGTGCAGTGGCGGGATCTTGGCTCACTGTAATCTCTGCCTCCCTTGTTTAAGTGATTGTCCTGCGTCAGCCTCGCCAGTAGCTAGGATTACAGGCATGTGCCACCATGCCCAGGTAATTTTTTTATAGTTTTAGTAGAGACAGGGTTTCACCATGTTGGCCAGGTTGGTCTCGAACTGCTGACCTCAGGTGATCCTCCCACCTCAGCCTCCCAAAGTGCTAGGATTGCAGGCGTGAGCCACCACACCCAGCTTCAACAGGTGTTTTGAATGACCAGAGGTCCCCACCGGAGGACATGCCTCACCCCCACTGCAGCCACACGGCGGGCCTTCTTTCCCTGAGCCTCTGCCCTCTCCACTCCGTCCTCCCATCTTCACCTTACCGCCTTTCATAACCTCTTTCAGTCTTAGCTCTCAAGGCAGTTCATTCATCAAGGACCCTTTCACGATGCCAGCCTTTGCCAGGCTGTGGTTCGATCATGCCATTCTCTTTCATCACTCTTTCTAGCTTGAAATTATTGTGTACTTTATATATATATATATATATATATATATATATATATATATTTTTTTTTTTTTTTTTTTTTTTTTTTTTTGAGACAGAGTCTTGCTCTGTCACCCAGGCTAGAGTGAAGTGGCACAATCTTGGCTCACTGCAACCTCTGCCTCCTGGGTTTAAGCAAATCTCATGCCTCAGCCTCCTGAGTAGCTGGGACTACAGGTGCCCACCACCACGCCCAGCTAATTTTTTGTATTTTTAGTAGAGACAGGGTTTCACCATGTTGGTCAGACTGGTCTCCACCTCCTGCCCTCATGATTCACCCACCTTGGCCTTCCAAAGTGCTGGTATAGCAGGCATACGCCACCATGCCCGGTGTGTTTTTGGTTGTGTTTTTGTTTTTGTTTTTGTTTGAGATAGGGTCTCCCTCTGTTGCCCAGGCTGGACTGCAGTGGTGCGATCATAACTCAATGCTGCATTAAACTCCTAGGCTCAAGCAATGCTCCTGCCTCAGCCTCCCAAGTAGCTGGGACCATAGGCATGTGCCATCACACCTGCCTATTTTTTATATTTTTTTGTAGAGATGAGGCCTCACTATGTTGCCCAGGCTGGTCTGGAACTCTTGGGTGTCAAGCGATGCTCCAGCGTCAGCCTCCCAAAGCAGATTAGCCAGCTCGCCTGCCTGAGTGTAATATTTGTCACCCCTACTTCACCATGAGCTCAGGGCTCAGCGGGGATGGGGCTGGTGCCTGTTTTGTCCTGGACACCTGGGAACATCATAGGCACTCAGGAAATGTCTGCGGGATGATTGGCGCTGCTGTACAAGCTCGCTACCACCCATGAGGTGCTGGCTTTGCAGAAAGAGCCTGATGGAAAACAGATCCTGGTGTCTTAAGCTCCCATACGTGGCCTAAGAAGGGAGGGAGACCCTGGAGGGCATAACTGGCCTGAAATACCTTAAAGACGTGAGGCGAAGGAGAGTCACATTCCAGGGAGGCCGCACACACACACACACACACACACACACCACACACATGCATATACACACAAGACACACTACATACACAAGGACACACACGACCTACACACCTGCACACACACGCACCCCACCACATACACATACCATACAAGGGACACACACAGCCTACACAGGCATACACACACATCACACCTCATACTACACACCGGAACACATACACACACGGACACACACACAGACACACAGGCACACACAGGCGGGCCTGGGGCTCTGGAAGGACTCTTGACGGGCGGCAGGAGGAGCCAGAGGGCGGGGCCAGGGGAGGGGCGGGCAGGTAAGTGCAGCCACTCCTGGGAGGACCCTGCGTGGCCAGACTGTGCCAGTGACTCGTCCACACTGCTCGCTGAGGAGACTCCAGGCGTCTCCTGCTGTGGCCGCTCCCTGCCTTAGAGGCCAGCCTTGGACACCTGCTGCCCCTTCCCAGCCCGAATTCTGGTATCCTTCCTTCTGAGCCAACATCTGGGTCCTGCCTTCAACACCACCCCTAGCTTCCTACCTTGCACTCCTGGAGTCTGCCCCAGGGGCCCTTGTCCTGGGCCATGGCCCAGAAGGGGGTCCTGGGGCCTGAGCAGCCGGGGGCTGTGGCCATTCTGCTCTATCTTGGATTATTCCAGTTGGGAACAGGTAAGTGAGGATGTGGGGGCGGAGCGGGGACCATGCGCTGGAAAGGAGCCGGGGTGATCATTTTCTGGAGTGCGCCCTTGTCCGGGGCCCAAGAAAACCCCCGGCTTCCCTAGCTCTTGGCTTCCTGCTCCCACCTTGGCTCTGCCAGGGAAGGAGCCAGCCCTCTGGAGCAGTGGTCGGTGCTGAGGGGTCAGGAAACCCGTCTTCCTCTACTCATCTCTCCCTCTTTCTCTTGTTTTCCAGGAGCGGAAGGGACAGAAGGTGAGGCTTTTCTCAGAGAGAGACGGGGGAGGGGGATGGACTTGGATCGGATTCCCCTGGGGTTTAACCAGTGCCTGGCCCTTGGCTGGGCTGCCCTCCCACTGTATTCTCTTAGGGCTCCCAAGGAGGGGGGAGGTTGTAGCCCTCACCTTATGGACAGAGGTTCCGAGGTGCTGAGGTGCAGAGAAGCAGGAACTTGCCCAGGGCACAGTGCCAGTGAGGGTGCAGCTGGGATTCAGACTGTCTGACTCCCAAAGTGGGGCAATTGAGATGGTTTGTTTGGTTTTGTCTTTTGAGACAGGGTCTGGGTCTGTCATCATCCAGGCTAGAGTGCAGTGGTGCGATCACAGCTCACTGCAGCCTCAACCTCCCAGGCTCATGTGATCCTCCCCCGTCAGCCTCCCTAGTAGCTGGGACTACAGGTGCATGCCACCACACCTAGCTAGTTGGTTGTTTTTGTTTTGTTTTGGTGGAGATGCGGGCCTCACTATGTTGGGCAGGCAGGTCTTGAACTCCTGGATTCAAGCTATCCTCCTGCCTCCACCTTCCAAAGTGCTGGGATTACAGGTGTGAGCCACTGTTCCCATCCTCGAGGTGGTTTTGAGGGAACCAAACGAAGGTTCTCCTCTCTTGGAAGGCACACAACCCGGCTCTGAGTCAGACCGGCTTCCAATCCCGGCTTCGCTGTACACTGGCTGTGTGTCACTGGCCACGTCCTCTACCTTTCTAAGCCCTTAGACTCCTCGACTCTAAAATGAAGCTGCTCATGTTCGTCTCCTGGGGCTGTGGAGAGAAGGCAGGGAGACGAGGAGGTGAAAAGCCCTTCCCGGGGCTGGCATAGCCGCTGGGCTCTCTAAATAGTGGCTGTTGTCGGGCTGCAGTTTTCTCTGCTCCTGGATGACTTTGTGAAGAGCAGTTGGGCCCCATCCAAACAGCAGCCTCAGTGCAGGTGGGGTTGGGGCTGTCCTGGAAACTAAGACATTCACGTCACGGGATCCCAGTTCTGCCATTCATGTCCACAACACCATGGGCACTGCAGACATGGGAATCTGCCCCTAGAGAACGCCCAGGTTGGTGTGGTGAAACAGACACAGTTGTGGACTCTGGAACAGCTGTCAGACTGGGCAGCTTGGGGAACATGAGGCTGTGGGGGTCGGGGGCCTGGGCTCTGAGGCAATGCCCAACTCGGCCAGCAGGAGCCCGCCAGGCTACGGAGGGGCTGCCATTCCAATCAAGCATCCACAGGTAGAGGGAAGTTTGCCAGACAGTAAGGATGAGGAAGGGCACTCCAGGTAGAGTGACCTGGATCAGCCAAGGTACCGGGTAGACAAGTGTGTGGCCTGATGTACACAACTGCAGGGTCCAGAGGGGATGGCTGCGGCCGAGGGCAGTGCCATGGCCGCCTGGAAGGTACCTTAAGGGCAGCGTAGAGCCAGGGAAGGGTTTAAGCAGGGCTGTGGCCTGGTCAGATTGGGGGCTTATGTAAATCTTGTAAGAGGCGGGATGGACGGAAGGCTTGCAAGGAGGGAGGCTGCTATGAGACCTGAATTGGGTAATGGGTAGTGGACAGAAGGGGCAGAACTGCCCATGCCTAGGAGGCGACAAAGGGTACTGACTCCTATGAACCTACTTCGCAAGCTCTGTATCAGAGCTCCTGGGCTGCGCAGGAGTGGCCGGGCTAACAACCTGACCCCTTCCCTTCCTCCCCGGCAGCCCCCTGCGGTGTGGCCTCCCAAGCACGCATCACAGGTGGCAGCAGTGCAGACCCCGGGCAGTGGCCCTGGCAGGTCAGCATCACCCACGACGGCGTCCATGTGTGTGGCGGCTCTCTCGTGTCTGAGCAGTGGGTGCTGTCAGCTGCTCACTGCTTCCCCAGGTACCGTGGAAGTCAAAAATGGGCTGGAGTTTCAAGTTCATGGGTCAATCCAGGTCAAAGGCTGGGGTTCTTGGGTTGGCTTTGAGAGTGTCAGTTAAGTCTGGAAGGGCCAGTTAGGAGTGAAGAGGAGGGATCAGAGGTTACAGGATAAAACTAAGGTGCAGTTTGAGACCTAAAAGGGGCTGATTGGAATCAGGGGTTGAATGCTACAAAGCAGCGAGGGTTGGGGAACAAGGAGAGGTCTCCTGGGTCCCAGCCTTTGCCCCGTGCCTGCAGCGAGCACCACAAGCAAGACTATGAGGTCACGCTGGGGGCCCACCAGCTGCTCTACTCCCCGGACGCCAAGGTCAGCACCGTGAAGGAAATCTTCACCCACCCCAGCTACCTCCAGGAGGGCTCCCAGGGTGACATCGCACTCCTCCAACTTAACAGCCCCGTCAGTTTCTCCCGCTACATCCGGCCCATCTGCCTCCCTGCAGCCAATGCCTCCTTCCCCAATGGCCTCCACTGCACTGTCACTGGCTGGGGCCACACGGCCCCCTCAGGTGAGGCGCGACACGGGATGCCTAGAGGCATGGAGGGCCACCTGACTGGGGTAGGGTCCTGGGTAAGCGTCTTTTGCCCCCACAGTGAGCCTCCAGGCCCCCAAGCCACTGCAGCAACTCGAGGTGCCTCTGATCAGTCGTGAGACGTGTAACTGCCTGTACAACATCGATGCCAAGCCCGAGGAGCCGCACTTTGTCCAGGAGGACATGGTATGTGCCGGCTACGTGGAGGGGGGCAAGGACGCCTGCCAGGTAAGCGCGGGTCCAGGGAGGTAGATGACCAGGGCAGCTTGGGAGAGGAGACCTGGTCCGGTCCTGACGGCTGCTGTGTGGCTTCTCTCCTCAGGGTGACTCTGGGGGGCCGCTCTCCTGCCCCGTGGAGGGTATCTGGTACTTGACAGGCATTGTGAGCTGGGGCGATGCCTGTGGGGCCCGCAACAGGCCTGGTGTGTACACTCTGGCCTCCAGCTATGCCTCCTGGATTCACAGCAAGGTGCCAGAACTTCAGCCTCGTGTGGTGCCCCAAACCCAGGAGTCCCAGCCTGACATCAACCTCTGTGGCAGCCACCTGGCATTCAGCTCTGCCCCCTCAGCCCAGGGCTTGCTGAAGCCCATTCTTCTCCTGCCTCTGGGCCTGGCTCTGGGCCTCCTCTGCCCATGGCTCAGCAAGCACTGAGCTGGCCCTGCTTCCAGGATGGATGCGTCACACTCAAGGACAGGAGACTGGTCCCTCCCTGATGGCCTTTGGACACCGGGCCTGGCTTGGACCGCTCCTTCTTCCAGGACTCTGCAGGAGGCTGGGGCCCCATCTTGATCTTTGAGCCCATTCTTCTGGGTGTGCTCTTTGGGACCATAACCGACAGTCACAAGTTGTATTGCCTGTGACAATGGTCAGCCGTTGGCCCCTAACCCGTCATGGACCGGCCAGTGGACCAGCCCATTGGCTGGGCTCCTATGGAGCTCCTGGGACCCTTGGCTATGCAAATGAGCCCTGGCTCCCACCTGTTTCCAGAAGACTGCTCCCATGCCCGCCTGCCAGCCTGATGAGCACATCTCTCTGCCCTCTCCCTGTGTTCTGGGCTGGGGCCACCTTCGTGCAGCTTCTTTTCAAGGACAGGAAAGGTCCCAATCTTGCCCACTGGCCACTGAGTGCCCCTGAGCCCTGACTCCTGGACTCCGGAGGACTGAGCCCCCACCGGAACTGGGCTGGTGCTTGGATCTGGGGTGGGGGTAACAGGGCAGGAAGGAGTCAAATGTTTGAGCACAACTCGCCATGTACGTGTGAAGTGAAATGAAGAACATCGGTTCTTGGCCTCTCCCTCCCATCTCCAAAGTCCAGGGCCACCAGCAGAATGGACTTTAATAAAAAAATGACAAAACGGGTCTGTACATATTTACAGGCTGGGGGCCAGGAGGCACGGGTCCAACGACGGGGGCCAGGCCGCTCACTTCTTGGAGAGCTTGACTTGTTTGTGCTTGGGGGGTGCCCACTTGAGGCAGACGGAGTCCACTGTGGGAAGAAGGGGTGGGAGGCAGGGCTGGGCCTGGGCCAGGCCAGCTCACACTCGGCTGCCCTACTCTGGGCTCAGGCCAGGTTTCACCTCCTCCAGGTGAGTACAAAAGGGCAGGCTGTGCTGGGGAGGGGCAGCAAAGCCCAGGAATGAGAGGCCTGCCTGGGCTCCATCCAGGGAGCTGGTCTGACTGGTTTGGGATCATGTGACAGCAATAAGGAGGCCTTGACTCCTAGCAGTCCATATACCTACCCCCAACTCCTTCCCCCACCACACACACACACACACACACACACACACACACACACACACGACAGTCCCCTACCCACCTGTGATGGGTGGTTTCTTATACTGTGCACTTTTGAGGTGCTCCTCCACCAGCTTGGGTGTGACACAGATCACATGCTGGCCCTTCCAGTACTTGACCATGTTGAGGGACTGCAGAGTACTGATGATGTCATTCTGGGTGATGCTGGTCATCTGGCTGCAAAAAGGGATGTGAGCAAATGCCAGACACAGTGCCCTTGCGGGTTCTGGCCGAGAGGGCAACAGGGAACAAAGAGACGGGATCGTGGCCCATCTCAGGACAAGCCCTGCCCTCAGGGTCCGGGAAGCCCCACTACCTGAGGTTCTTGATGGACACTGTGCCCCAGAGGCTCCCTCACCTGAGGTCCTTGATGGACAGCGTGCCCCGGAAGTCCCGCAGGATCTCCAGCAGCACCCAGGACCAGTAGCTGCGGTAGCTGAGCTTGCCCAGGTCAGACAGCGGTTTCTCTGGGGAGCCGACCGTGCTCTCCAGCTTGGATAGCTCATAACCTGGCAGCAGTACCAAGAGGAACCTAGGATTCAGCCTGCCCTGGCACCCTTGCCCCACGGCTGTCCCCCTCCCAGACAGGCCAGGAGCCACTCACTGAAAGCAATGAGGAACTTCCCGTAGCCTCGGCGTTGGTAGGGGGGCAAGGTCAGGATGCAGGCCACATTGTTCCCATCTGGGGACTCCTTCTCCTGTAGGGGGCAGGTGCTCAGGGCCGCTGGGGAGGCTCTGTCTCCACTCCATTCATACCTACCCTCGCCCTCCCTACCCTCAGCTTCCCGACCCAGCACCTTGGAGAAGTAGCCGACAATGTGGGCCCCCTGCCTGTCCACCTCGGTCAGGATGTAAAAGACGAATGGCTCCACATCAAAATACAGTGTCTTGTGGTCCAGGAAAAGCTTGGCCAGCAGACACAGGTTCTGACAGTAAATCTGGGGGCAAGGAGGGGGAGACAGGCTCAGGGGGCAGGCACATCACCCACCCAGCTGGCCTCCAGGAGCCAGCACCGGCACGTGGCAAGTGGGTGCCTCGCCAGGCCAGACAGATTTAACACTGGAAGGAGTCTTCAGTCAGCCTCTGCCAGACAGGGAACTGAAAATCAGAGGGCAACCGCTCCAGAGGCACCAGCAGAGCTGGACGAAACCCGGCCACCCCTTCTGAGTGCCAAATATGGGGTGGATGCCTTCCATGCGGGATCTAGTTCGGTCTTCACAGACATTAACTGTCACTGTTTCAGCTTGGGAAACTGAGGCTCCGAGGCAGGAATTGAGACTTTCCTGTTCATGACTACGTCCCCAGTGCCCAGCACGCAGCGCGGCTACGTATGAAGCTGGGTGCCTGGTAAATGTCTGCTGAATGGAGGAGCCTCAAGCTAGAGCTCCAGCCTGTCTGCCCACTTGGCCGCCCTCCAGCAGGGGACAATGGGACCGAGTTTGGCTTCATGGCACATACTAAGGGGCTCCCTGGTCTATGACACCACAGCCACTCTCTCATCCAACCCGGCAGCAGTGCAAGCCCAGCACTGCCAGGCCCATCTCACTCAGGAGGAAGCTGAAGCTCCCAGAGTGGAAGTGCTTGCCCAGGGCCTCAGAGCTGGCAGAGGGCAGAGCTGGAAAGCACCCCCTCATCTCCAGCAGGGGCCCTTCTGCCATTCCACCCAGTCATGCTCAGGAAGGCAAAGCAGGGACAAGGGCCGGGCCCAGCCTGAGTCCAGGGCTAACCAAGCCTCAAGAGGCCAGTGATAATACCAAGGCCGTGTTAATTAAGCACTTACTAGCGCCAAGCACTGCACGGAGCACTTGACATTTGCTGTCTCATTTATTCCACTAACAACACAGCTAGGTAAATATTATGACTCCTGTCTTACAGACGAGGAAACAGGAACAAACTATGTTAAGTCACTTGTCTGTGGTCAGTGAGGAAGTGACAGGGCAATGTGAGCCACCCTGAAGTGAGTGGGGCCACTCTGAAGCCTGCCCTCTGCCCTCTGCCCTCTCCGTCCTATGCTGTATGGCCTGTCTACGGGAAATTAGGACACTTGGGGAGACCCTCGCAGACTGCCAAGGCAAAGGCAAAGTTCTCCACAACAGCAGAGTAGGTCCCAAAGGCCCCAACCGGCCCTGCTGAAGTCATTCAGGGCCAGGAACAAGGAACTCAGCCCTTGACAGCCACAGAGCTCTCAGCAGGAAATTTCACACAAAGCGGTCCCCTCCCAGCAAAAATAAACACCTTTCTTTCCAACGCAAGGAGAAAGCGCTTCTAAAAGCAGCCTAAGGCAAGACAATCTCCACTCGGTTCCAGAATGACCCAAGCTTGAACCTAATCCCACCAGCAAAAGAGTCCTGGGGCCACAGGGCCCTGCATTTCCTGTGTGCCAACCATAGGCCTAGTGCCAGGCTAGGAGGCCCTCAGAGGTCTTCTTTTTTTTTTTTTTTTTGAGACAGATCTTCACTCATCACCCAGGCTGGAGTGCAGTGGTACAACCTTGGCTCACTGCAATCTCCACCTCCCAGATTCAAGCAATTCTGGTGCCTCAGCCTCCCGAGTAGCTGGGGTTACAGGTGCGCACCATCACACTGGCTAGAGATGGGGGTTTCACCATGTTGCCCAGGCTACTGTCCAACTCCTGAGCTTAGGCAGTCGGCCCACCTTGGCCTCCCAAAGTGCTAGGACTGCAGATGAGCTGCCATGCTTGGCCCCTCAGAGGACTTCTGCCAACAGAAGCTCACGCTAAGGCTGCTCCCTCCCCTTTGGTGGTGACAAGGATCATCTGAGAGGTGCCCAGGACCTCCCAGCCTCCCCTAGCCCCTGGCCACCCACTCACCTTATGGTCTTTGCCATCGACTTCGTACACAGAGATGTTGCTCTTGCGGTAGATCTCCTTCCCCGGGGGCTGCCGCCACTGGCATTGGCCCTGGTGGGGGAACATGAGAACAGGCTTGCTGCCCATAGGTTCTCTGCTAGGTGGCCCCCACCCACCACTGTGTGCCTTGGAGCAAGTCTCTGCCTCTGTTTCCCCTCAGCACTTCACCTGCATCCAGCAATCCTCCCGGCAGCCTTAGGAGGGCGATCCTTCTTTACAGACCAAGGCCCAGGCACAGAGATGCAAACATCACACAGCGGGGTGGGGTCCGTGGGCCTGGCTCTGGAGGCACCGGTCCATGACCATGCCCTCCCTAAACCACACCTATTCGCCTCAGGTTCCACACTTTGGGAAGCAGCCCACTGTGCCATGATAAGAGCGCCCCCTTCCTGACAGCCCCCAATTTCATCCACACCTTAAGGTCCCACTGCCAGGGGCTATGTGTGCTTCCTAGGACGGGACTGGCCTTGGCAAAAGACCTGAAGGGAGTGAGTTACTGTCCCCATTCCAGAGAAGAGGAAGCTGAGGTCTGGAGTCGGCAAGGTCACCCTGCCAGCAAAGGCAAAGCCAGGCCTGGAATCCAGGCCTCCTGACACCCAGCAGCTCTTCCCTGTACTCGCTCCTCTGGGCCCTGGAGCTGCCTATGCAGCCGCGTTCAGCCTCCATGCCGGCCTCTGTCTCTACCAGGCCCCTGCCCCGCTCTGCCCGGCCAGCCCAGCCTCACCAGGTGGAAGCGGTAGGTCTTCTCGTATTTCATGTACTTGAGGCAGTACTCGCAGAGCCAGAGCTTGGGCTGTTTCCCATAGTCTTCGGGGAACGGTGAGAAGTACCAGGCATCAATTTCATAGTTCCCGATGTGGATCTTGTCCACGTACTTCACCTTGGTGATCTGCAGGTGGGGGTGGGGCACAGCGCACGGCTCAGCAGGGGCTCCTCAGCAAGGGAAGATGGGGGACCTGCAGGCAACTCCCCACCCCGCTTACCGCCTCGTGCTCCTTCTCCAAGGCTGCCGTGGTGGGATCCATCTCTGCATAAGTCTGAGCCAGGACAGAAAAGTGGGCAGGGGTGAACAGAAGTGGTGACAAGGTTGTCCCTTCCCATCCAGGACCCACAAGCCTTCCCTGCCGCTGTCTTCCAGACCTCACTCCCTGGATGGCAATAGTAACCACACAAGTAGCTGACCTGTCTGACTCAGTTCTGAAGCTGGCCAGTCCAGGCTCCTCTCGCATCCACCCGCCCCATCCCCCGGATATCCCAGACATCCCTGATGCCCAAGTTTGGATCTTTTGCCAGACGAACAGGGTTAGGATCAGGACAGGGGCTTTGGCTGCATGATGGGGGTAATCCAGCTCTGCCGAAGTTGTGAGCCTCACATGAAATAACGATCTGGCTTTCCAGGCCCACCGGAGGAACTGTCACTACCTCCCGATGCGCCTGGACCCCTTTCCTGAACACTAGACCCCACCTGCCCATGGGACTGCCCCAGAGGTCCCTCCCACAGGGACAGCAGACTCAAGATGTGCAGAAAGGACCTCAACACTCCTCCCTGCAAACCTGCAGCTCCTCCTGAGTTGCTCATTTCACTGGGAACATCACCCTCAGTCCCACCATCCAAGACCTGTAACTAGGCCTGCCTCGGACTCCTCCCTCTCCCTCAGCCTGGTCAAGTCCTAATACAGTGGATGTAGACTCTACCTCTTGACATCTCTGGAATTGGGCCCTCTCTGGAATTCTCTCTGTCCTGCTCCAAGTAGTCATGGCCCCATCTCAGGTCTAGACAATTGGTTAGGCCTCCTCAAATTCCCAGCTTCCAGCCCCAGCCTCCTCATTGCTATCAGCAGCCCCCTTTATGCGGCCTTCATGCTTTTGCACAAACAGCTCCTTCCACCTGGAAAACGCCCTTCCTTCTCTCACTGCCAGCAGAAAACGATTCCTCAGCCTGGCATGGAGCGCATGAGTCAGGTGAGTCTGTGATGCTTTGTGACCTATCCTGTGTCACTGTTGTTATCGTGCTCTTTCGTGTCCTTCAAGGCTCAAGATTCTTCCCACCCACTCCAGGGGGCCTGACTGGATTCTTCCCATGCAGAAAACATTCCCTAGTTCCCAAGTGTGGTGAGAAGTGGTCAACAGCGCAACATCTTCCAAGTATGCCCACCCGGGTTCCCCTATTTTCCAAGTCCTCAGAAAGCAGAGACTAAGAGTGATGGTACACTCACAGCATGTCCCACTCTTAGGCCAGACTCTGTGGGAGGAACGGAGTACAGCCTGGCAACGGAGGAGGGACCCAAGACAGCCCGTGACCTACACAGGGCAGACGAGGCCCTGCCCCATAGCTGAGAAGGGAGGAAGGAGCCAGCGCTTTACCCAGAACCGCTCTCCACAAAGCACTGTGCTTTCCTGGCCTCATCTAATCCTTTCAGTAATCCCAGAGTGGTTTTTTTTTTTGTTTTTTTTTTTTTGAGATGGAGTCACTCTGTCGCTCAGGCTGGAATGCAGTGGCACCACCTCGGGTCACCGCAACCTCTGCCTCCTGGGCTCAAGCAATTCTCCTGCCTCAGCCTCCTGAGTAGCTGGGATTACAGGTGCACGCCACCATGTCTGGGTAACTTTTGTATTTTTAGTAGTGACAGGCAAGGTGAGGTCCCTTGCCCTCCGGGACTAGCAAGCTGCCATTTATTCCAAGTGGTAAGCATGGCATAGACATTCTTTCTTTTTCTGAGAGTTTCTCGCTCTCACCCAGGCTAGAGTACAGTGGCAACATCTCGGCTCACTGCAATCTCCCGCCCCTGGGCTTGAGTGATTCTCCTGCCTCAGCCTTCCAAGTGGCTGAGACTACATGCACGTGCTACCACAGCCAGCCTTTTTTTTTTTGAGATGAAGTTTCGCTCCAGTCCAGGCTGGAGTGCAGTGATGTCATCTCGGCTCACTACAACCTCCACCTCCCAAGTTCAAGTGATCCTCCCACCTCAGCCTCCCAAGTAGCAGGGATTACAGGTGCCCACCAGTATTCTCCACTCATTTTTTTGTATTTTTAGTAGAGATGGGGTTTCACCATGTTGGCCAGGCTGATCTTGAACTCCTTATCTTCAAATGATCCACCTGCCTCAGCATCCCAAAGTGCTGGGATTACTGGTATGAGCCACAGCACCCCACCTTTTTTTGTATTTTTAGTACAGATGGGCTTTCACCATAATGGCCAGGTTGGTCTCGAACTCCTGACCTCAAATGGTCCAATCATCTCAGCCTCCCAGAGTGCTGCAATTACAGGCATGAGCCACTGCACCCAGATGACATTATTCCATTTCGTCCTCACAATAAGCCTTTGAAACAAGAGTGCTCATTGTGCCTATTGTACAAAACAGGAAACTGAGGCCACAAAGATGTGAGGTCACTTGCCCAAGGTCACAGAACTGGTACTCAGCAAAGACAGGCGTGGGTCCCTGATCTGTCCAATTCTGAACATAGCCACTGTAAAGATGAGCAAGAAACATTTTTCTCCTCACACATCTCTTGTAAGACACATTCCCCAATTCTCACAAAATACAGTCCTCTTCTGCAAATGCAATAAAGAACTACAAAAACACTACTTTTCTTAATTGTTGCAATTTATTTAGAATTAAACATTAATTAGGCTCTGAAGAACCATGCTATTATTAACTGGATGATTGTTTCATTACCTATTCTTTGATTTTTATCACCACTGGCCCGTTATCCACCCTGCTGGTTGCCAGCTCAGAGGCATGTCTTTGTTCAGTGCACACAAGTTGGGGAATTAATCTTAGATCTATGCTTTCCAATAGCCACTTGTCACATAGGGCTATTTAAAATTATACTCAGCCAAGCATGGTGGCCCATGCCTGTAATCCCAGCACTTTGGGAGGGTGAGGTGGGAGGATCACTTGAGGGCAGGAGTTATAGTCCAGTCTGGCAAACATGGCGAAACCCTGTCTCTACCAAAAATTTAAAAAATGAGCTGGGTACAGTGGCATGTGCCTGTAATCCCAGCTACTTGGGAGGCTGAGGCATGACAATCGCTTAAGCCAGGAAGACAGAGGTTGCAGTAACCGGAGATCTCACCACTGCACTCCAGCCTAGGTGACAGAGTAAGATTCTGTCTCAAAAAATGAAAATTTTGGCTGGGCACGGTGGCTCAGACCTGTAATCCCAGCACTTTGGGAGGCTGAGGTGGGCAAATCACTTGAGGTCAGGAGTTTGAGGCCAAACATGGTGAAACCCCATCTCTACTAAAAATACAACAATGAGTTGGACATGGTGGTGCATGCCTGTAATCCCAGCTACTCAGGAGGTTGAGGCAGGAGACTCACTTGAACCCAGGAGGCAGAGGTTGCAGTGAGCTGAGACTGCGCCACTGCACTCCACCCTGGGCAACAGAGCAAAACTCCGTCTCAAAAACATGAAAATAAATAAAAAATTTTTTAAAATCATTAATTCAAAAAAAAAATTCTTTTGAGATAGTTTTGCTCTGTTACCCAGGCTGGATAAAGTACAGTGGCACGATCTTGGCTCGCTGCAACCTCCACATCTCCTGGGTTCAAGCGATTCTCCTGCCTCAGCCTCCTAAGTAGCCAGGATTACAGGTGTGCACTACCCCAACTGGCTAATTTTTGTATTTTTAGTAGAGACAGGGTTTTGCCATGTTGGCCAGGCTGGTCTCGAACTCTTGACTTCAAGTGATCCATCCACCTCAGCCTCTCAAAGTGCTGGGATTACAGGCATGAGCCACTGCACCTGACCATAATTTTAAAATTCTTAATTCTTAGTCACACTGGACACATTTCAAGTGCTCAACAGCCATATGTGGCCAGTGGCTACAGTACTGGATAGTACAGCTAAAGAACATTTCCATTACAATAGGAAGTTCAATTGGGCAGTGCTGCATTAGACCTTGAGGGGTTCTTCCAGTTTAGGGTATTTCCTTTTTTTTTTTTTTGAGACAGAGTTTCGCTCTTGTTACCCAGGCTGGAGTGCAATGGCGCGATCTCGGCTCACCGCAACCTCCGCCTCCTGGGTTCAGGCAATTCTCCTGCCTCAGCCTCCCGAGTAGCTGGGATTACAGGCACGTGCCACCATACCCAGCTAATTTTTTTTATTTTTCGTAGAGATGGGGTTTTACCATGTTGACCAGGATGGTCTTGATCTCTCGACCTCGTGATCCACCCGCCTTGGCCTCCCAAAGTGCTGGGATTACAGGCTTGAGCCACTGCGCCCGGCGGGTATTTCCATTTTTTAAATCACACCACAGTAGGAAGTACATTTGGCACTATAAACCTGTTGACATGTCTATATATACACACACACGTGTGTGCTGGGATCATCAGGAAGGCTGGAACAAGAGGAATCCTGCACTTTTATTGAGTGTGAAATAAAAGCTTCTCAAAACAATACTTGCCCTTAGTAAAGTGCAACACCCTGATTCTTCTATCTTACCCACTTTCTTTCTTCCACTTAAATTACATGCTGGGCTTGCCCACTGAACTCATGTACTCAGAAGGATGAAACTGTAATGGCTGAAAGTAACAAATGTCTAGGTATCTTGAGACTTTGACAAATCTTGCTCTGGTTTGCACTCCTCATTTAAATTAAGAAACTGAGACATGGCGAGGCGCAGTAGCTCACACCTGTAATCCCGGCACTTTGGGAGGCTAAGGCAGGAGGATCGCTTGAGACCAGGAGTTTGAAACCAGTGTGGGCAACATAGCAATACCCTGTCTCTACAAAACAATCAAAAATTAGTCAGGTATGGTGACACGTTTCTGTGGTCTCGGCTACGCAGGAGGCTGAGGCAGGAGGATTGCTGAGCCCAGCAGGCCGAGGCCGCAGTGAGTGATGATTGTACCACTGCGCTCAGCCTAGATGATAGAGTGAGACCCCATCTCAAAAAACATAGCAATAATATGTACAACTGTTGTATATCGACACAAGAGAAAATGAAGGCAGATGCAGCGATGTGTACCTGTGGTCCTAGCTATTTAGGAGGCTGAGGCAGGAAGAACGTTTGAGCCCAGGAGTTCAAGTCCAGCCCAAGCAACACAGCAAGACTCCTCTCTCTCAAGAAAAAAACAAAATCATGGCTAAGGCCTCTAGCTCTGAGGTAGCACAATCTAGCTGATAGATCTAATTCCTTGTCTGGGTCCCTAAACCTATCTGTAGCTCTTCTGCAAATTGGGAATAATAATAATGCTTACCTCACAGGCTTGCTGTGAAATGTCAGTGAGGTCATATGTTAAAACACTGAGTTTAATGCTTCGGCTGACTGGCTAAAAAGTGTTTGGCATCATTATACTCAGCCCACCCTTTTACTAGCTGTGTGACCTTGGGCATGTAACTCAATCTCTCTGAGCCTGCTTCCTCACCTACCAGAAATGTAACTATTTCTGTGTGCTGAAGTGTTGGGAAGGATTTGAGGAGCTTATACATATACAGGACTTGGCAGGGTGCTTGGCTATAGCAACTGCCCAATAACATTCTCATCTTTCCCACTGCACTTCAAGTCATTTTGTCTACTAAGTCACAGCCACTAGGAGACATGAGGCTATTGGTCAGCCGGGCATGATCGCTCATGCCTAGAATCCCAGTACTTTGGGAGGCTGAGGCGGGTGGATCACCTGAGGTCAGGAGTTCAAGAGCAGCCTGACCAACATGGAGACACCCTGTCTCTACTAAAAATACAAAACTAGCTGGGCATGGTGGCGCACGCCTGTAATCCAAGCTACTCTAGAGGCTGAGGCAGGAGAATCGTTTGAACCCGGCGGGCTGGGGTGGCATGGCGGTTTCAGCAAGCTGAGATAGCGCCATTGCACTCCAGCCTGGGAAACGAGATCGAAACTCCTTCTCAGAAAAAAAAAAAAAAAAAAAAGGCTACTGGTGCAAGAGGCCTGAATTCTAGTCCCAGCTGTACCATTTCCTTGCTGTGAGAATGTAGCCAAGCCCTTACCCTCTCTGGGCCTGTTTTCTTACCTATGAAAAGTAAGAGAAAGTAGATAAAGTCCCTGACACACTACAGGAGCTTAAGAAACAGGATTTGCCATGGTTTTGGCACTGGGGCCCAAGAGACCCAAGAGAGCCAGCAGAGGCAGCTGGGCCTCCTGGGCCTGGGGACAGGAAGGGACCCAGACCTTCTGCACATGGTTGATCTCATCATGCTTGCGCTTTTGGTTGCGAGTGATCTTGCGCTCAGGCTGTTCGGCGAGCTCGCTCAGGTACTTCTCTGAGTTCTTCTGCACAGCATCCTTCACCGTCTTGGTCAGTGCCAGCCGGTTCTTGTCTACCCACTCATCCAGCCGCCGATTAACTGTAAGGATGGGCCATGAGAGCGCTGCCAGGGCACCCCACGCCCCGCACCCAGGCCCAGATGCACCATGCCACTCACAGCCCACGTAGTGTACATAGAATTCCTCTCGGCCCTCCTGGTCATTCACCCGAGACTGGATCACTTCAGCAGAATCTGAGATGGGGAAAAAGGCTAGGATCATTGGGAAGGTAAGGCTGGAACGAGAGGAGTCCTGCACACTGAGGGGTGGTGTCCAGAGTCAGTGGCCACACATGAGCTAAACTCGCTGGTCTACCTCTGCCATTCTGCTCTATCACTGCTACAACTGTGACGTGGACCAGGTTGGGGCTGTTATTCCTATTTATGGAAGAGAAAAAAACTGGTTGGGTGTGATGTTTCACACCTGTAATGCCAAACACTTTGGGAGGCTGAGACAGGCAGATCACTTGAGGCCAGGAGTTTGAGACCAGCCTGGCCAACCTGGCAAAATCCCATCTCTACTAAAAATACACACACACACACACACACACACACACACACACACACACAAAAGAGCAGAGAGTGGTAGCACATGCCTGTAATCCCAGCTACTTAGGAGGCTGAGGCAAGAGAATTGGTTGAACCGGTGAGGCGAATGTTGCAGTGAGCCACTGCACTCCAGCCTGGGTGACAAGAGTGAGACTCTGTCTCAAAAAAAACCCCCAAAAAACAAAACAACAACAACAACAAAAACAAGAAACAAAAAACAAAACAAAACAAAACAAAACTGAGGATTACCAGGGTCACAGATTTGAAAAATAATAGCTAATACTTAACTGAATTTAAGTCTGACCCTAAATTCTGAGCTCATTTTACCATATACCCTCAGTCATTCATTTGTTCAGGGATCATGAAGGTTGGCTCTGGATTAAGACACCCTAATTAGGCCGGGAACAATGGTTCACGCCTGTAATTCCAGCACTTTGGGAAGCTGAAGCAGGCAGAACATGAGGTCCAGAGATCAAAACCATCCTGGCCAATATGGTGAAATTCCGTCTCTACTAAAAACACAAAACTTAGCTGGGCGTGGTGGTGCATGCCTGTAGTCCCAGCTATTCAGGAGGCTGAGACAGGAGATTGCTTGAACCCAGAAAGCAGAGGTTGCAGTGAGCCGAGAAGGAACCACTGCATTCCAGCCTGGCGACAGAGCAAGACTCCATCTCAAACCAAACAAACAAAATAGCCTACGTTAATATATAATTCCAGCTCCCTACTTCTTAGCAATGTGTGACTGAGCAAGTTATTCCATCTTTCTGAGCCTTAGTCTCTTCATCTGTAGAAGAGGGATAACAGCCAGGCACAGTGGCTCCCCCAGTAATCCCAGCACTTTGAGAGGCTGAGGTGGGAGGATCACCTGAGCCCAGGAGGTCTAGGCTGCAGTGACCTGTCAACGCGCCACTGCACTCCCACCTGGGTGACAGAGTGAGATCTTGTCTAAAAAAAAAAAGAAATGAAAAAAGGGGTAATAGCGCCAACCTTAGAAGGTGAGTAAATGCCTCCAAAATTTTTAGCACAGCACCTGACAATTAGCAGACCATTCAATAAATGAGTAAGGCAACCACTATGTGCCTGGCCGTATGCTACGTTGTTGCCGGGTACAGAGGACACAGTGATGACTCACAAGAAGTCCCGCCCTCCAGAAATTCCCAGTATGATGGAGGAAGACAGAGAGAAAATTACAACATAATGGTACAAAAACTATGACAGAGGTATGAAACAAATGTTGCAGGAACACAGAGAAGGGAACAACTCACTTTGCCTGAAGGGGAATCAAGGATGATATCACAAAGGATACTAAGCTAAAAAGCTGAGTAGGAGCTAGACAGGCGAACAAGAAGAGAAAGAAAAGACATTCCAAGCAGAGGGCACAGGTGGTAAAAAGCCGTGTGGTCATCAGAGGACACAGTGTGTTCATCAGAGGACACAGTGTGTTCTGGCCTGGAAATGGCCTCCACTAGGGTTGGCTAGAAACTGGAGAGGTTTAAAAACCGGGTGCAGTGGCTCACGCCTGTAATTCTAGCACTTTGGGAGGCCGAGCTGGGTGGATCACCAGGTCAGGAGTTCAAGACCAACTTGACCAACATGGTGAAACTCCATCTCTACTAAAAATACAAAAATTAGCTGGGCGTGGTGATGAGTGCCTGCAGTCCCAGCTTTGGGAGGCTGAGGCAGGAGAATCGCTTGAACCCCGGAGGCGGAGGTTGCAGTGAGCCGAGATCGTGCCACTGCGCTCCAGCCTGAGCGACAGAGCAACACTGTCTCCAAAGAAGGAAAGAAACTGGAGAGGTCACAAAAACCAATGACATACGAAGGAATTTGAAATTAATTTCAAAATAAGAGAAGGCAGCAGAACATTACGGAAGGGGAGCCTTTTGTTTTTCTGGAAGATATTCTCTCTGCGGCCGGCTGCCAGGGACAAATGGAAGGAGAAGACGCAGAGACAAGACGGGTGAAGAAGCAGCGTTGGCAAGAAGAGAATGAAACCTAAGCCTGGGCAAGGAAGTGGAATGGGAAGAATCCTGGTGACGCCCTGAGTGGGTGGGTTTGCAGGCGTCGCTCGGCAAAATCCGAGGACGACAGTCTCCTAGAACTGGGCTGCTATCTCAGCGCCTGGAACTCAGCATTCTTTCCTCAAGCCCGGTCCCCGCTCCTCCCCACTCCCAGCCCCAGTCTCTCGGCCTCAAGGAGGAGTTCTCAGACCCCGCCCCCAGGCCCTGGGCCCCGCCCTCACGCCAGGTGCTATCCGGCCGCCGGCACAGGTACGTTTCTCCAATCTCCACCGTGACTTCCGGCTCGCCGCGTGCCGGGGTCGGCGGAGAGACGCGACCCGGGGATGGGGCGGCCCCCTCAGCGGCCGCATTCTCCCCATGCCCGGGCTCGCCCTCCCCCGCGACCCCTGAAGTAGCGGCTGCAACCGCCGTAGCAGCTCCCTGTGCCGCCATTGCGGGAAAGGAAGTGACGCCAGAGTCGGGCGCCAGGCGGCCCTTTTGGCTCCGGGTCAGCAGTGCGTGGGGTGGGCTCCTCAGGCTTGAGGGCAGGATTTGTGACGTAACTGGAGCCTATTGGCTTCTGTGGCCGTCCCCGCGGCCCCGCGAAAAGCGGGTTGTTGACTGTGCAGCGGTCCTGGAGCTCCCGGCTTTCCGCGCGGAGTTGTGGCTACAGCCTGTGGTTAAGGAGAAGAGACAGACTTCCCTTATGCGGTGACTCAGCTCAACACTCAACTTTTTTTTTTTTTTGAGATGGAGCGTCGCTCTGTCGCCAGACTGGATTGCAGTGGTGCGATCTTGGCTCACTGCAACCTCCTCCTCCTGGGTTCAAGCGATTCTCCTGCCTCAGCCTCCCAAGTAGCTGAGACTACAGGCGCGCATCACCACGCCCAGCTAATTTTTGTATTTTTAGCAGAGACGGGATTTCACCATGTTAGCCAGGATGGTCTCGACCTCCTGATGCGCCCAGTTCGGCCTCCCAAAGTGCTGGGATTGCAGCTATGAGCCACCTCGCCCGGCTTTTTTTTTTTTTTTTTTTTTTTTTTTTTTTTTTTTTTTGAGACGGAGTCTCGCTCTGTAGCCAGGCTGAAGTGCAGTGGCGCGATCTTGGCTTATCGCAACCTCCGCCTCCTGAGTTCTAGCGATTCTCCTGCCTCAGCCTCCCGAGTAGCTGGGACTACTACAGGCAAGTGCCACCACGCCCAGCTAATTTTTGTATTTTTAGTAGAGATGGGGTTTCACCATGTTGGCTAGGGTGGTCTCAATCTCCTGACCTTGTGATCCACCTGCCTCAGTCTCCCAAAGTCCTGGAATTACAAGCGTGAGCCACCACGATGGCCAGCTCAACCTTTTTAAAGGCCTTGGTGCCTAAGGAAGCCAGGATGTGCCAATTTTTAGTGGGCGCCACCCCCATTTTAACGGGGCAGAACCAGAGCGGCCACCCTGGTTGCCAGGAGTTAACACTGGAGCTGGCCTAATGTCGCCCACCCCGTTTTTTTTTTGAGATGGAGTCTAGCTCTGTTGCCCAGGCTGAAGTGCAGTGGCACAGTCTTGTGCTCACTGCAATCTCCTCTTGGGTTCAACGGATTCTCCTGCCTCAGCCTCCCAAGTAGCTGGGACTACAGGTGTGAGCCACCACACCCTGCTAGTTTTTTTTGTTTGTTTGTTTTGTTTTGTTTTTTTCGAGACATTTGAGACAGAGTCTTGAACTGTTGCCTCGGCTGGAGTGCAGTGGCGTGATCTCAGCACACTGTGACCTCTGCCTCCTGGGTTCAAGTGATTCTCCTGCCTCAGCCTCCCAAGTAACCACAACTACAGGCACATGCCACCATGCCCAGCTAACTTTTTGTATTTTTAGTAGAGAGAGTGTTTCACTATGCTGGCCAGGCTAGTCTCAAATTCCTGACCTCATGATCCGCCCACCTCACCCTCCCAAAAGTGCTGAGATTACAGGCGTGAGCTACTGCACCCAACCTAATTTTTGTATTTTTAGTAGAGATGGGGTTTTGCCATGTTGGCCAGACTGGTCTTGAACTCCTGACCTCAGGTGATCCACCCGTCTAGGCCTCCCAAAGTGCTAGGATTACAGGTGTGAGCCATTGCACCTGCCGGTACCCCATTTTTGAAGGTTGAAGAGACTAATTCCCTTATTTGGGGTGGGAAAAAGATGCAGTTGGGGTGGGGAAAGCAAAACGGGTGTGCCCAGGGACAGCCCATAAATCATCCTCACAGGATAAAGTCTTACTAAAGAAAGGAGCCCTCAAAACCACAGGTCTCCCGGATGGAAACTGGCCAAAGGCAGTGGATATAGTGAAGAACATCTTGAGTAGTGAAAAAGGAATCTTGAGTTCTGATCCTCCGCTGGCTAAGATGTACAAGTGTGAGGATTCTCTGAGAGTCACTAAAGGTTAAGCCGTTTATGTATGGTCAAACCATGTACAATTTGCCCTCCATGTCTGTGTGTCCCACATATGAAGATTCAATGAACTGCGGGTTGAAAATACAGGGGTCGGGCGTGGTGGTTTATACCTGTAATCCTGCACTTCAGGAATTCAAGCATCAGGATCCATTCAGGCCAGGAGTTCAAGACCAGCCTAGGCAGCATAGAGACCTTTCTACTAAAAATTTGGGGAAAAACAAAACAACTATCTGGGCCTGAGAACCCGCGCCTGTAGTCCCACCTACTCTGGAGGCTGAAGTGGAAGGATCACTTGAGCCTAGGAAGTCAAGGCTGAGTGAGCTATGATCCCTTCACTGCACTCCAGCTTTTTACTACAACCACCTGATCTTCAGGGTTGTTATTCCACTTACCCAGAGTTCTGGTGCCTCACTTTTGACCTTACCTGACATCGTCAGTTACCAATAGTTAAGGATTAGCCTATGCCTTATAAATCCGTAATCAGGGTTACTACATCACCATCCATACTCTTCTCCCTCCAATCCATTGGCCACCAATGACTCCTGTTAGAAGAATCTTGCATATTTGCAAATCTGTTCCTCCAAGGAACAGTAAGGCCGGGCGCAGTGGCTCTCAGCACTTTGGAAGGCTGAGGCCAGCAGATCACTTGAGGTCAGTAGTTTGAGACTAGTCTGGCTAGCATGATGAAACCCCATTTCTACTAAAAATACCAAAATTAACCAGGCGTGATGGCGGGCTCCTGTAATCCCAGCTACTTGGGAGGCTGAGGCAAGAGAATCGCTTGAACTGGGAGGTGGATATTGCAGTGAGCTGAGATCATGCTACTGCACTCCAGCCTAGGTGACAGATAGAGACTGTCACTAAAAAAAAAAAAAAAAAAGAGAGAGAGAGAGAGAGAGAGAGAGAGAAAGGCTGGGCGAGCTACCTCAGGCCTGTAATCCCAGCTCTTTGAGAGGCTGAGGTGAGCAAATCGCCTGTAGTTGGGAGTTTGAGACCCGCTTGGCCAACATAGCGGAAACCGCCCCCCCCACCCCCTCCGCACCCCACATGGTGGCACACGCCTGTAATCCTAGCTGCTTGGGAGGCTGAGGCTGGAGAATTGCTTAAACCCAGGAGGCAGAGGTTGCGGTGAGCTGAGATGGCCCCACTGCACTCCAGCCCGGGTGACAATGTAGGTCCTCCGCCCGGGTCCTCCAGGAGTTCTTTTTGTTGTTTCTGTGTGGCCAGATTACCTTTGATGTGCTTCCAAAGGCAGCTTTTTTTTTCAAAGGTACCAGCACCTGAGGCTCTTCTTTAAAAGACCATCCTTAGGCTAACAGAGCTGTTCATTTTCCCAACAGACTTTACCCAGTGACTGCCAAGTGGAGAAACTAATCAATGCCTCTGAGGTTTAGCTCTCTTGCCTTCAACCCTGAGGCATAATTGACTGGTTCTAGGCTTTTGCCTGAAGTCACATCCTTGCTTGGCTTCCTCCCCTTCCCCTACTCCCTTCTGGGAGCACTTTCTTAACAAATCACGGGGACACAAATCCTCTCAGGTTCTCCAACCTGAAACATCCCTTCCTAGCTCAAAACCCACATGGGCCAGGTGCTGGCTCATGCCTGTAATCCCACCACTTTGGGAGACTGGGGTGGGAGGATCATTTGAGGCCAGGAGTTCAAGACCAGCCGGGGGTAAGGGACAACACAGGGTTTTGCAGAAACCGTTTCTACAAACAATTGTTTAAATTTAGCCAGGCATGGTGTTCCCAGCTACTCAGAAGGCTGAGGCAGGAGAATCCTTTGAGCCCAGGAGTTCACGGCTACAGTGAACTCTGCAGCTACTATACTCCAGCCTGGGCAACACAGCGAGACCCCATTTCCAAAAAAAATAAGAACCCATGGATCCCTACTGCCTCAAGATAAAGCCCATGTTTCAGGGCTCTGACCTCTGACTGCTGCCTGCCTCTTCAGCCTCACCACCCTGCCTTCCAGCTAGCAGGAGTTTTCAGTCTAGGAAGTCACTGTGGTTTCCTAGCACCTGCCATATGACCTCTAGATACAACTTCATCCCCCTGAAGGGTAGTTGATACAGGCCTAGAGCTAGACTCAGGAATTTTGCTGTGGGAGCTCAGATGTGAAGGCAAGAGAAACTTCTAGTCCTCTCAGCCCCATCAGGCTGCTCTCAGGCCTTTCTTTTTCCCTGGCAAGGTGGGTAGGGTGTTCCCACCTAAGATGTAATCTGAGTTCTGAGGCAAGTCTAACCTTGAGCCTACTTGATATCTTTGCCCAAATCCCTGGTCCTCCCTATCAGGGTCCCACCTTTCCCTGCAGTGGGGCACCCAGTCCCTTCTGGGGCCTGCCAGGGCACAACCTTGTGTGCTTTTTTCCTTGGCAGCAGCAGACATATTCCTTGGTGATGCTGATGACCACATCTGGGACATTGTAGGGAGTGTCTATTTTTAACCTTACTCAGGCTCAGGAAGCAGCTGGCTCAGGAGGTTGCCCAGTCTGGTGACCTTCACCTCTAGAAACTGAGTGCCAGGAAAGGAAGGGTCAGAACTGAGGCCCGAAGCTAGGTCAGCCTGGGCCTTCAATATTATCTGGGACCCGGAAATATTTGTTCAACAAGATAAAAGTTCTTTGTGTAAGGTGCCATAGTCACCCCACCCCCACAAAATCAAACATGCAAGAGACTTGGAACAGATTCTACTCCTGGCCCGCCAGACTCTCAGGCAGGTGTCCCCAAACTGCGGCCCCCTCAGGCCATTTATCCGGCTCCCCGCCGCACTTCAGGAAGGGGCACCTCTTTTATTGGTGGTCAGTGAGAGGAGCACAGTATGTGGCGGCCCTCCAATGGTCTGAAGGACAGTGAACTGGCCCCCTGTGTAAAAAGTTTGGGGACGCCTGCTCTCAGGGCAGGTAAGAGACTGGGATATGAACCAGTTCAACCCAAGGGCTCAGTGAACCTGAATGGGTCAGAAACAAAAGCTCACCTGCCCTCCCCACATACGGGGCCCGAGAGGGCATTCAAAATGTGAACTTTAATAACAACAGGTCAGAGTAGGGGTTCCCCAGGAACGAGAATGAGGGAGCTGGTGCTGGAGGCCTTGGAGCGCCCACTTCCCCCATCCAAGGCCTGGAGGCAAGGAGGCAGTGGACCCTGTTGAGGCGGGGCGGTGCCCAGCTCCATGAAAGTCCATCTGTCTGGGGCCCTGAGACCCAAGATACAGCAGTGTGTGGAGCAGGGGAGCTGCCCTGCCTGACCCGGGAGGTACTGCAGAAAATGCAGCCCAGGCTGGGCAGGCGAGCAGGCAAAAGGCTGTGGAGTCATATTCGGAAGCTTTCCTCCCGGCCATCAATGTGGCGGAGCCGCAGGTAGACGTCCGTGCCAATGCCCTGCAGAGACTGCAGCTGCAGGGACCCACCGAGGTACTCCGCGTAGGCCCGTGACGTGGGCAACCCGAAGCCAAAGCTGGGGGTGGGCAGGGGGACAGGACAGGAGGCTTCAGAGGCTTGAGTCTCCTGGGGTCCCCCACCCCTCCATCCTGGCCAGGCAGGGTCTCACCCGTGCATGGGTCCTGACTGGGCACCACTGTGCATGTCCAGATGGCCAAAAAGGGGGCTGATCCGGGGGTCCTGCGTGCTGGCCTCAGCTGTAGTGAAGTGGTAGTCCATGACCCGGTCCAGGTCTTTGTGAGCAATTCCTCCACCACGGTCTGAGATCCTAGCAGGATGGCGACAATAATGGTCTTGGCTCAGCTTTGATGGGGGACCCACCACCTCCCAAGCAGACAGTGCAAAGTCTGCCTTCCTGTCCCTTCCACCCAGAGCTGGAATGTGGTCCACCGAGACCCTTGGGCCTTGTTTGTATCATCCTCACCTCTGCCAGGACCACTGACTGCTTATACCTTCTCATAGGATGTGACATTTATCCTCAGCCCAGCATCCTGGACCAGTTACTCCTGTTTCTCAATTTCAAGCTCCTCAGCTGCTGACAGAGGCAGGATACTGAGGCCAGCAGCTGGCCCCAGATCCATTAATAACCAGCTCCTGGCCATCTCAGGATCCAGAGAATGGTTTGTCTGGCCAGGGATTGAGTCCCAGAATGGGACAGGAAGGGGCTCAAGGTCCTAGAGCAAGTCAGAAACAGCGCCTGGACCCCCATCCCATCCACCTCAGCCCAACTCCCACTCCAGGCAAACCTGATGATTAGATCAACATCATTGTTGGCGATGGTGATGACCACATCTGGAACATTGTAGGGAGTGTCTAGGTGACTCTCCATTGTGGCTCTAGGCAGAGGGGAAAGAGCAGTAGGTAGGAGCATGCGGTTCCTGTCTGCCCCCCTCCCAGCACGTCCAGCCAGCCTACCTCATGGCATTCTTGAGCAGCTCCGGCAGGATATAGTCCAGTGGCATAGGGATGAAGGGGAAACGGGCAGCCACGTGGCCATTGATGCGGACACGGGGCGCATTGCCATACTTGTGCTCACACAGGCGTCTGTGGACAGGAGTGAGGGTTCAGACAGGCTCCTCCACCAGTGGTTTGCAACTGGAGACAATTCTGCCCCACCTAAGTAACATTTGGCAATGTGCGGAGACATTTTTGTTTGTCGCAACTAAGGAATACTACTATTATCAGGGATGCTGCTGTACTTCCTAATGGGCACGGGGAAGCCCCTATGACAAAGAATTATCTGGCTCAAAATGTCAGTAGTGTCACGGTTGAGAAACCCTGCCCCCACCAGACCATGTCCTGGGCAAGGGCTCAGAACCAAGCCTCCCCTGCCCCAGATGTCTGCCCACCCCCTGAGCCATTCTGGGCTCACCTGGCAAAGTCCACCCACTTCTCAATAATCTTCTTTGGTGAGAGACGAGTACAGATGATGCCAACAAAGTCAGGCTGGCCAGAGAAAGGAGGTCAGGACTACCCACACCCTTAGCCCCACCTCAGCCCCCAGATGCTGGCAGCTTCGGAACTGCCCCAAAGCACCAGTCCCACAGCCTCACCCCCAGGTCTTGAGCCGGATCCCCAGCCCAGTCTCCTCTGTCTCAGTGTTCCCAGGTCCCAGAGCCCCACCTTGTCCTCGTGCAGTGCCAGGTGATGTGTGGCCAACATGCGGATTCCAAGCCTCGAAGTCAGTGTCTTGTCCAAGAAGTAGCGGACAAGCTTTTCATCCTGTAAACAGTGAGGCCTCAGAATCCCATGCCCTTCCCAGCCTCCAGCAGGCCCGGTACCTCCTTCGCTGCCCCAACCTGGGCCCCTCCTTCGCTGCCCCAGCCTGGGGCCCCTCCTTCGCTGCCCCAACCTGTGGCCCCTCCTTCACTGCCCCAACCTGTATGTGCTTCCGGCTCTCACGCAGGCCCTCTGCCAAGAGGGTCACCACATCCTTGTGGTCATCCAGCAGCTGTCGCACCAGCTGGCAGTACTGAGCCTCTTCCGCCTGGTCCTTGATCTGCAGGTCACAGAGTCATGAGCAAGGGTGGTCCGAGTCCAACCTCTCAGCCCCTTACCCTGCTTTAGCCCAGCCCTCACCAGAGGGAAGTCCGTCAGCTTCTGGAAGGCACGGATGTACAGCTCATGCTGCAAGGAAGAGGTGTGGAAATTCACAGGGCTGCAGGGCCACTGAGCAGGTGCCACCCACACCTACCCATGCAGGTACTCAACCCAGTCAACTATGTATCAAACCCCCACTGTGACCCTTCCGCCTCCATGAATATACACCTTTGGCTTCTGAAGGCCTAGGGCTGAATCCTGTGTGGCCCTGAAACCTTTAGGCAAGCAAGCGTCCACCACTCTGGGCCCCAGACTCCCCACTTTCCCCCAGGCAGGGTGGTAAGGCCCTCTCTACCTTACCACGTATAGTATTGTGGGGTTGCAGCCAATGATGAAAGGAAGGCAGCGGAAACCCTTGATGCGGTGAGCGATCCTCACTGGAAGTTCTTGCTGCAGGTACCGAGCGCTTTTCTAGGAGAAAAAGAAGGGAAGGCAGGGCTGGGCCCTGAATGTCTGGGAGAGCTCCAGGAGCCAAGAGGCAAACAGAGGGTGTGAATCTTACCAGAAGGTGGCTACCATCCTGAGAGCGGCCGGAGTAGAGCATCATGGTGGGCGTGAGGCGGACTGAGGGCTAGAGAGGGAGAGGGGACTTGAGCAGAGAACTCCCAACACTCCCTCTCGCGATGGCTCCCCACCCCGCTGCCTACCTTCTCTGCTGCCGCATCAATGGCCGACTGGTTGTAAAAGGAGGTGACGGTCTTGGAGCGCTCCCGCGCCATCTCCACGTGGTGTGTGTCGGTGGCTGACGTTGAGCGGGACCGGATCCCCAGTGCGGGCCCCAGGAGGGGCCGGAGTGGAGGCCCACCCCGGGGGCCGCTCCCCAGCACCGACGCCAGGATCATCGTCCTGCTTCTGAGACCCAGTGGCCGCTAAGGCTGAGGACCCAGGGGGCAGAGGCGACCCAAATGGGGTAAGGGGGGTGTGGGTGGGTAGGGGCTCTTCTCCAACTTCAGAGACAAGTGCGCGTCGAGGATGCTGACAGTCTCAGCCCGTGGAGAGGAGCTCCCATCTACCGGGGCGGGGAAGGGGAAGTTGTAAGGATCTGAATCCACACAGTTCGCAGCACCGGTCTCCCCAGACGCGGGCGACCTCTGCCCACTTCTCCCACCGCCTCCCCAAATGAACACAGGCCACGCCTGAAGGACCTGGCCTCCCAGGGGTTTATTCCACAACCCGGGGTTCTACTGGCGGCGGGTGGGCTGCTGGGGGAGGAGACCCTCAGATGCTTCCGGGCCGAAAACCTCGCCCCGGGTTCCCGGGCACCCTCCTCAGTGGGCGGGGCTGACCCTGCCTGCCCAGCGCCTTCAAACCCGGGCCGTGGGAGGGCGGCCAGCGGATGTGCGACACCAGCCCTGGGCTCCGGTGTCGGCTCGGGAGGGTGCGGCCTGGAGTCCCCAGCGGGGCCCCCTATGCGGGTCACTTGGTTCAGCCTGGATGCCCCCCATATGGTAGATGCGAGCCCCGCCTGCGCGCCAGCGCAGTGATGGAAGCTGCGGACGTGTGTCGCAGGGCCTCCGCGGGCTGGGCCGGCAAGGATCGCCCCACTTACCGTGGGGCCGGAGCCAGGGCCCAAGTCCGAGCGGAAGGGCTCGAACAGTCCACTCGCCGGGGACCCAGTGGCCTGCGCCCTCCGCCGCCGTGACGTTATGGGCAGCGCCCGGTGTGTCCTGGGAGTTGTAGTTTGCCTTGAGGACGTGCAGCCCCGGGCTCCCGCGTGCCCGCGCATCCAGGCCACGCCCCTGCTCCTGGACCCCAAACAGCACTGCTTCCTCCCCACGGCTCCCGATGCTCCGTGTCCCTCCTGGCCTCTTTCTCCTGCTCTATGAAACAGGCTCCCTGGGAGCCGGAAGATCTTATATCTAAAGCGCACAGATCACGCCCTGCCTTACTCTCTCGGCGGTCTTGTCCTCCTTCCAGTTCTTGGTTCATTTATGGGAAACCGGGCTGACCCCAGTTCGGCCCCTTAATCCCTGGAGCAAATTACCTAACTGCTCAGTGCTTGGTAAGATGAAGCGGTTTAATTAGTTTCGGGGTTGTGTGGATTACGTGAATTTATATGAGTGCCTAGAACAGTGTCAGGTGTGAAATTAGTACTATGTAAGGGTTAGGCATTGTTATTATTCACTCATACCTGCAGAGAATGCAAGTCACTTGACTGGGTGCTTTTTCTGCATCAGGAGAGGATTGGGCAGTGAATTGAGTAGATCTTTCCGTGCACTGCACAGGAAGACAGTTTCATCTTCTGATCTCCTGAGGTCCTCCTTGTCCTCCCAAAGTGTTGGGACTACAGGCGTCAGCCACCGTGCTCGGCCAAAACAATTGTCTTCTTACTGGCTTCTCTGACATTTGCCTGTTCTAGGCTGTGACGAGGGCTTTCAGAGGAGGCTTCCGGAGCCTCAGACAGGGACTGAGACAGCTGTATAGGTGCAGCCTGAGTAGGACTCCGCCAGGCAAGGTAGCCGGGTGGGAAGGGTGTGTGGCACGATAGAAAATAGCCCAGATGGTCTGAGGATATGGCTGGAGCCATGTGGGATCTAGGAAGAAGAGGGGCAGCGGCAGAGAGCAAGGATAGTTCTGCATTTGTCCTAGGGTAGTTAGAAACCACTGAAGGGTTCTAACTGGTGGGCTTGGCTCCTTTAATGGAGGCCCCTGTCTGCTGTGATTTAGCGTATGGGGTTTATGCTTATGGTGAGGCCAAAAGCAGAGAAACCAGTAAGACAATTACTTTAGGCCGGGCGCAGTGGCTCACATCTGTAATTACACCACTTTGGGAGGATGAGACAGGCGGATCTTAGGAGTTCGAGACCAGCTTGGCCAACATGGTGAAACCATGTCTCTACTAAAAATACAAAACTCAGCCAGGTGTGGTGGCAGTGCCTATATATCCCAGCTACTTGGGAGGCTGAGGCGGGAGAATCACTTGAACCCAGGAGGTGGAGATTGAGTGAGCAGAGATCGCACCACTGCACTCCAGCCTGAGCAACGGACTCCCTCACAAAACAAAACAAAAAAGACAATTACTTTATCTGATGCTGGGAGGGACACGTTTCGGTGTGTGCACGTGCATATGTGTATACTGTGTACTTATACTGATTGGAATTTTCTTTACCGTGGTTACATATTTCCTAAATATTTTCAATAAAAAGTACTGAATGAAGCAGGTGACATCTTTGGAGGCTGTATTTATTTGGAGATGGGGTCTCGCTCTGTTGCTCAGGCAGGAATACCATGGCTCCATCACAGCTCACTGCAGCCTCCAACTTAAGTGATCATCCCACCTCGGCCTCTCAAGTAGCTGAGACTGTAAGTGCGCACCACTAAACCAGGGTAATTTTTTCCCCCTCAAGCAATCCTTCTGCCACGACCTCCCAAAGTGCTGGGATTATATAGACATAACCCACCGCACCTGGCCTTTTTTTGTGTTAGAGCCGAGGGTCTTGCTATGTTGCCCAGGCTGGTCCCAAATTCCTGGTCTCAGCCTCCTGAATTGTTACAGGCATGAGCCACCACACTGAGCCTGGAGGCTGTCTTTAAACTTGGAGGTGGGCCGGGGGCGGTAGCTCACGCATGTACTCCTAGCACTTTGGGAGGCCGAGGCAGACAGATCACCTGAGGTCAGGAGTTTAAGACCAGCCTGGCCACCATGGTGAAACCCTGTCTACTAAAAATACAAAAATTAGCCGATGCGATGGCGTGCACCAGAATGTACAGAATGTACAGGGCCAGTGGGCCCTGTTTCTCAGAAAATTGGTTACAAAGATGCTAGATGTCTCATACCACAAGCTCTTAGAACAGAATGCCCTACATAGCTCAGGGTGGGCAAAATGGAGTTAGCAGGATTGGTTAAAACGTATTCATTATAGCATCCCAGCTACTTCGGAGGCTGAGGCAGAAGAATCGCTTGAACCCGGGAGACGGAGGTTGCAGGAAGCCCGAGATGGCGCCACTGCACTCCAGCCTGGGCGACAGACTCCGTCTAAATATATAAATAAATAAACTTGGAGGTAGAAAAGAAATAAATAATAAACATAAACTTGGTGGAAGGATACCTCACTGTGGCTGGCCTGCCTGAGGAACTGGTGGCAGATCACGGGAAAGGGCCACCCTCTGTCCCTGGGTTTCCCTTGCCCCCCACCCACACCGTTCCCACCTGTTCTTTTCTAGCGTCCTGGAGTACAGCCAGGCGGCGGCAGCCCCGAGGCAGGCACGGCTGGAGCCCGTGGCAGAAGGGAGCGGGAAGGGTGCTCCTGGCCAGCAAGACGGGCTGCGCTCTGTGCGCCAGAACCCGGCCCTCACGTGGCCGCGGCGTGGACAGGGGCTGCAGGCGGGGAAAGCTGCCGCTGCCACGGAGGCGGAGGCATCTGGCACCAGCCTCACCCCATTTGACCCGCCGCGCTCGGCCCCAGCTGGCCCGGACTTGCTGCTGCCTCCAGCGGCGGAGGTTGGACCTGCATCTCGCGAGCCCCCTTTCGGAATACGGTATGCAACAGGTCAGGCAGCTTTCTAAGCGCCTGCGATGTATTTTTTTTTAATTTACGGCCGGGCGCGGTGGCTCACGCCTGTAATCTCAGTATTTTGGGAGGCCGAGGCGGGAGGATCACGAGGCCAGGAGTTCGAGACCAGCCTGGCCAACATGGTGAAACCCCGTCTCTACTAAAAATACAAAAGTTAGCCGGGTGTGGTGGCACGTGCCTGTAATCCGAGCTACTCGGGGGGCTGAGGCAGGAGAATCACTTGAACCCGGAAGGCGGAGGTTGCAGTGAGCCGAGATCGGCACCACTGTACTCGGGGGGCCAGAGCAAGACTTAGTCTCAAAATCAGTAAATAAATAAATAATCATTGGGTTTAGCGTCTTGGTGACAACAGCCACTAGGTGTCGGGGCAGTGCTGGAGGCAGGAGCTAGTCTATGGCGTGGGCAGCACGGGAAGAAGTGAGGAAGTAGAGACTGGAAGTGTAAAGTCTTTCCAAAAACTTGACTCTGGAGGGGAAGATAGGATAATGCGGGGAAGGGAAGGCTGGTGAAGGACCTCTTAGTGAAGAGAGATTTGTTGCTGTTTCTGAGATGGGAAAGAGAAACAAGTTGCAATGCAGATGGGGAGGATGGAGGAGTTGAAAGTGTAGGAGAGATGGGTCACTATCAGATGCGACGTCTGTGAAGGAGAGACTTCAGCTGGCCCACGGAAGGCTTGGAAAAGAGAGGGTGACTGTTGAGTTGATCCAAGCTTAGGTGTTGCCAGGCGGGCGCCACGATAGTAGAGAGGTTAGGATGCTGACAAGGGTGTTTGTGGCCAAAGGAGTGACTCTGGGAACGTAGGGAAGAAAGGGAGACCGACCGGCAGGAAGCACTGGTGAGGCAGGACCTCGGAGGACGGGAGGTTGCAGATTCGTTCCGGAACCGGATCGCCATATTCCCTGGATCCCTTGATCCCTGGTCTCTAGGTCCTGGATGCTCCAACAGAACTTGGCATAGGGTAAGCGCAAATACTGTTACCCACATTAACACAGTTTTTAAATCTTTAGAGACTTCATTTCCCTTGATGCCTTGCGGCCTCTCTGACTACAACTCCCATCATGCCTGGCAGCTGAAGGGGCCGCGATTCTACACAACCCTTACCCGTGCGCGCCAGTCCCGGCATTCCTCGTTGTTTTCCTAACTCACCAGCACGGCTCGTGCTTGAGAACAGCCAATTGGGTCGCGGAGTGCGAGCCGAGTCACAGGGGCATGGCCCCGCCCCGCCCCGCCCCTGCTCCGTGGCTGGTTTCTCTCCGCTGGCGCCTCGGGCAGGACCTGGAGATATGGGCAGCACCTGGGGGAGCCCTGGCTGGGTGCGGCTTACGCTCTGCCTAGCGGGCTTAGTGCTCTCGCTCTACGCGCTGCACGTGAAGGCGGCGCGCGCCCGGGACCGGGATTACCGCGCGCTCTGCGACGTTGGCACAGCCATCAGCTGTTCGCGCGTCTTCTCCTCCAGGTGCGCTCGGGAGTAGGAGGCGTGGGGCCCAGGGGCAGGGCGGCCAGGTTACCTGATTGATTATTCTGGAATCTGGGATCGGGGTGCCTGGGGAACGGACACGGGGCTGGACTGCTCGCGGAGTCGCTGCACGGGTGCTGCATGGGGGCTTGCGGAGTCGCTGCACAGCTACCCAGAGATACTGGTGTCCGAGATAAGAGTGCGAGGCAGGGGATCAGACAGTGCTGGTGACTTCGATTATTTCGGGGACTCGCATGTGGATTGGATGCCAAGGAATAACGGTGACCGGGAAAGGCGGGTAGGCGGGATGGCGGCAGGGACTGATGATGGTGGTCTCAAGGACCGCGCTCGGCGGAGCCGGGGGCTGTTAGCAATGGTTGTGCCTGGGAACTAGGTGGCCCGGTCTGGCTGCGCGTGAGGGCCAGACCTTAGCATAATGACGGAATACAGAGGAGGCGAGTGAGTGGCCAGGGAGCTGGAGATTCTGGGGTCCAGAGCAAAGATAATCTGCCCTCGACTCCCAGTCTCTGATTCAAAACCGAATGACACGTTATACCAGCCTTGCCATGTTAAGAATTACCTAAGGGCCGGGCGTGGTGGCTCACGCCTGTAATCCCAGCACTTTGGGATGCTGAGGCGGGTGGATGGATCACTTGAGGTTAGAAGTTCGAGACTAGCCTGGCCAACGTGGTGAAACTCCATCTCTACTAAAAATTCAAAAATTAGCTGGGCGCTGCGGCGGGCGCCTGTAATCCCAGCTACTCAGGAGGCTGAGGCAGGAGAATCGCTTGAACCCGAGAGGCGGAAGTTGCAGTGAGCCAAGATCATGCCATTGCACTCCAGCCTGGGCAAACAAGTGAGACTCTGCCTCAAAAAAAAAAAAAAAAAAAAAAAAGAAAAAGAAAAAGAAAAAAGAAAAATAATTACTTAAGATCTAGGATGAAAAGCAAGGACTACGGAGTAGCCACGTCCATAACTGGTCTGGGGAAAGGCGAGGACACAGTCAGTGACATGGAATCCTGATGTGGCCAAAGGTTCCCGGTGCTTGGAGGTCATCGACCCCTGGACCGGATGGAAGGTGGGGGAAAGGAGGATAGCCCAGGTGGCTTCTTGGAAATCACCTTTCTAGGGCAGGATCCAAGCCACTAAATTGACATTCCTAACCTGGTTCCATCCCACCCCACCCCTCTGCCAGGTGGGGGAGGGGCTTCGGGCTGGTGGAGCATGTGCTGGGACAAGACAGCATCCTCAATCAATCCAACAGCATATTCGGTTGCATCTTCTACACACTACAGCTGTTACTAGGTGAGTGGCTCTGCCCTCTCCCTGCAGGCCCCACCCCTCATCCCCCTTGGTCAGCTCAGCCCCACTCCATGCAGTCTTGGTGACCCACACAGCAGACGGCCAGCTAGCGCTCATCACGGAGCATCCTGGGGGGTAGGGAGGTAACTAACAGGCAATTGGTTTAAGTACTGTTAGAGGTTGAAGGGCTCTTAAAGTCATCCTAGGTCCCCAGGTTTTTTGTTTGTTGTTTTGAGACAGGGTCTGGCAGTTGCCCAGGCTACAGTGCAATGGCATGATTTCAGCTCAGGGCAACCTCTGCCTCCCGGCCCAAGTGATCCTCCCACTTTCGCCTTCCAAGGAGCTGAAACCAGAGGCATGTACCACCATGCCCAGCTGATTTTTGTGTTTGTTTTTTTGGTAGAGACGGTGTCTCGCCATGTTGCCCAGGCTGGTCTCAAACGATCTGCCCACCTCAGCCTCCCAAAGTGCTGGGATTACAGGTGTGAGCTACCATGCCCCGCCAGCACCCCAGTTTTATGGAAAAGATGCCAAAATTAGTTTTTTTTTGATACAGAGTCTCACTCTGTCGCCAGGCTGGAATGCAGTGGTGCTATCTCTGCTCACTGCAACCTCTGCCTCCCAGGTTCAAGCAATTCTACCTGCCTCAGCCTCCCGAGTAGCTGGGATTACAAGTGCCCATAAACCACACTGGCTAATTTTTGTATTTTTAGTAGAAATGAGGTTTCGCCATGTTAGCCAGGCTGGTCTTGAACTCCTGACCTCAGGTAATCTGCCCGCCTTGGCCTCCCAGAGTGCTGGGATTACAGGCATGAGCCACAACGCCTGGCTGCCCAAAATTACTTTTTGAGGAGAATCTGAGCATAAGCTATCTTTTATCTCATTTAAGGCTCAGCAGGAAAATTCGTATATGGTCCCAGGGATTATTGAACAGATAGGGAAACCAAGGGTATGGGGGACAGTGACACCCCAGGCCCTGTTGACGCCATACGCTGGAGATGAGACTACCCATAACCACCCTTCCCAGAAGGCCCCCACGCTCCCTTTGAGTCACCCTCCCAGTTCCAGCGAAGGCATCCCTAATGCCTTCTCTGGAAGGGAGAAGAGGGAGGCCCAGCACCACGGTTCCTGGCAGACATATGGTTCAGACTCGGCTGATTTATTTAAGAAATTTTATTGCTCATGGGCCGGGCGCGGTGGCTCAAGCCTGTAATCCCAGCACTTTGGGAGGCCGAGGCGGGTGGATCACGAGGTCAAGAGATCAAGACCATCCTGGTCAACATGGTGAAACCCCGTCTCTACTAAAAAAATACAAAAAGTTAGCTGGGCGCAGTGGTGCGTGCCTGTAATCCCAGCTACTCAGGAGGCTGAGGCAAGAGAATTGCCTGAGCCCAGGAGGCGGAGGTTGCGGTGAGCCGAGATCGCGCCATTGCACTCCAGCCTGGGTAACAAGAGCGAAACTCCATCTCAAAAAAAAAAAAAAGAAAAGAAATTTTATTGCTCAGAACTTTCCGTCCCTGGGCAATGGCAAGAGCTTCAGAGACCAGCCCCTGGGAGGGGACCTGTCAAAGCCATGTGTGTGTGTGTGTGTGTGTGTGTGTGAGAGAGAGAGAGAGAGAGAGAAAGAGAGAGAGAGATGGAGTCTTGCTCTGTTGCCCAGCCTGGAGTACAGTGGTGCCATGTCGGCTCACTGCAACCTCTGCCTACCGAGTTCAAGCGATTCTCCTGCCTCAGCCTTCCGAGTAGCTGGGACTGCAGATGCACCACCATGCCCAGCTAATTTCTGTATTTTTAGTAGAGACGGGGTTTGACTACGTTGGCCAGGAAGGTCTCGATCTCTTTCTTTCTTTTTTTTTTTTTTTTTTTTTTTGAGACAGAGTTTTGCTCGTTACCCAGGCTGGAGTGCAATGGCGCGATCTCGGCTCACTGCAACCTCCGCCTCCTGGGTTCAGGCAATTCTCCTGCCTCAGCCTCCTGAGTAGCTGGGATTACAGGCACGTGCCACCATGCCCAGCTAATTTT